AATACCAAATAAATCGGGAGGCCCATTTTGGGGGTAGAGTTGGGCTATACCGCCGATCAAAGTGTTGTCTCGGAGACATCAATTTTCCTTTTTTTTTTCCCCTGAAGAAATTGATTTTCTGATGTCATTTCCCAGGTAGACACACCAACAAACCGACTCCAAACCGACTGATTCTTGGCTAATATCTATCGCCCCCATTTCTCTCTCTCTCTCTCTCTCTATCTTTATCCATCTGACCTCCTTACTATCTATCTATCTATCAACCTATCTATCCACTTATTATTCCCTTTTCTCTCTCTACCTCACCCTTTTCTCTCTCTCTCTCTACCACTTTTAGATGTAACATGTTGTATTTTGTTTCATTTATCTTTATGTCTCAGTCTGGTGTATGTGTTTTCTGTTGTTGAATTTTCCTGCATAATTAAGTCAGTAGTTTAATTCAGTGAACCTACCCGCAGCAAGCCTATATAGCTTTTAAAAAGTTCACTCGCGATTTTTAATATCAAATGACTTACATAATGTTATTCAATGTTATTAATTAATATGATTCAGTATTATTAATTTACATATTACTTAAAGAAATGTAAATGTTTTGTAAAATGCATTATGCTTCGTTATTATTTGTATGGAATATGAATCAAAGCAACCAACTAATCAATCAATCAATTGGGATAATGCAATTTTTTATGCGGTGTGCTGTCGGTCTGAACCTTCATATCTTCAGTGAATGTCAACAATCATTATTTTGTTTACACAATATCTCACAATATCAACAGCCATTGAAATGTCAGACAGGTTCTAGTTTTACCACAAAAAAACTTAGTTCTAGATGGTATTCTGTGAAAACATGTGATGCTATTAAAATTGCAAGTGCACCTACTTCGGCTTATTTTAGCTTGCTGTGATATCAAAAGGAGCACGAACGTGTTTGGGGGGGGGGGTTCGTATACGATGGGGCTTGGCAGACTGACGAAAAATAGCAGATAATTTTTTTAATATATATTTATTTCGATCAAGCAATCAAAAGTTTTGTTGATTTACAGACTTATACAGATCTGCAGAATATACATGTGCAAGGCAAAGGTCACCTTTAAAAAAGGTTTCATCACCTTGAAAATAAGTTCTATGATTCTACATCAAGTTGAACAGATTGACACGGTTCCATAAAGAATGAAGTGCGGGGTTTTATCACATTTTATTTCCACACCAAAAAAGCAGCTGAAATCGTGACTTTTGAAAGTACGCAATTGAATGTAATCTAGAAAATAGAAACATGTGAATTTTAAAGGTAAAGACCAGTATTGGAAACGCCCCAATTTAAAAAAAATGAAATGGAAGCTCTCATTACCGAAAATGTGAAAGAATATGTTTTGACTATACATGATGATAAAAAATTTGCCGGAAACCGCCTACTAATTCATATATTTGGTAATTTGTTTCTCTCATGGTCTGTGAGAGATATAGGGTAGTCCCATATACATCTTTCTGTGTATAGTGCTTGTAACTTTACGAAGAATGGGCCAAATTTCTTATCATTTTGATGATTCCAGAACCTTGCAGATGCTAGATGCTAGATGATCAACCTTTTCTGATCGATTCCACAACGTTTCTTTCACAATGCAATCGCATGACCATAACTGGTCTTTACCTTTAACAGAGTAAAACTCGGCTATTTTCACATTTACTTAAGTGCCGATAGAAATAGTTGTACAGAACACATCGCTTTGCCATTCATGATACATGTACTCTTTTTCCTTGTATGAGCATTGAGATTCCAATTTACCGAGAACATAAACCCCCCCCCCCCCCCCCCCGTCTTACTATGAGGCGGAATAGACAAAAACATATTGATCCCTTATCACAACGGTATACTGAATTTAAGCAATACATACAAGCCAAATAAAAGAAAAATAACAGTCTATGAGATAATATAGTGGCAACATTTAATTGTACTTTTTTTTCCCTCGTATAAGCGTTCAGAGAACATATCGCCGTCTTGCTATTAATATTATGCGGCAATGACAGAAGATACACCAACTACAATAGCGGCATACCGACTTCAGGTATATACATGTCCTATAAGAAAAATAAAGGCAATTTAACATTCTATAAACAATATCATAGCAACAAAACCAAAAGAAAAGAAAAAACAATCCTGAATATATGTATTCTGTATTGTATTGATATCGCATTGATATATGCATATTACAAAAACATATCTTCTGAATCTTCTGAATTTGGAGTCAGCAGGGCGGTATTCCGCCTGTCGCTAACTTGTACTGGGGGTGTGTGCAGGGGGACCACTACACCGGGGTTTCCCCCTACTCTTATACGAATAGTGCAGTGGGTTCTTAACGTGCAAAGGTAGTGACTCTTCTCTACACGGGGCCTCCATTTAACGTCCTATCCGAGGGACGGAGAGTTTTCCACTTGACATAACCTGCGTCTATGAACAAGGGAAGGGGTACGTTAACACACAACGTAGGCTTCAGTCATCCGCCTGGGTGGAAGTCGAACCCGGGATCTTTGGTTCGACAGACGGATGCTTTAACGACTCGCCTCCTCATAATGAGACTTAAAGCAGTTGAGTAGCCATAATTTGTTTCCCCCCTTTTTATTTTAAACACCACTCTTGTGATATACATGACTATTCATCAAACAACAATAATAATGAGATATATGTCTAATTTTTCACATTTGAAACAATAACAGGAAACCTGTACAATAATTTGATGGACCAATTATTGACATAATTGATATGCCCCCCCCCCCCCGAAGAAAAAAAAGGTATTTTGTTTTACTTTTTTATATATACATTATGATGTACGTGTGTACAGACCTAGTCATTACCATGGGAATCAACAATTAAAAAGGAAGGAATTTAGATAAGTTCACTCGAAAGGATGAATTTACAATCTGTCTACTATTTCTGAATTTAATGAATATGTACAATGCCGTCTTAAAACTACACACATTTCTATAAATCACAGTGAAATACCACTGTATTTCATACGCCATTATATCTACAAATAACTCTGTCAAATTCAAGAAACAATGCAAATATTTAAGGGCACAACAGCGTTAGTGCTAAATCCTGTTTCCCAAAATGTATTCCATCAGAGCGAAAAGTATGTTTCACAATTTATTTATCAACAGGATATGGAAAATCGATTACATTATTTTATTGATCATACAGTATACAAAAACGCTTTAAAAAACGGTTGTTTCAAGGCAAAGCATTACATTAATATTTTGGCACATTGAGCTGACTAAATGCTTAGGTTCCAATGGGCGAATCTAAGCTCTACTATTATTCTAAAGTAGTTATAAGTATGTCGTGAAGTTTTACATCACTAGTATTTTCTTGCTTAATGCAAACGGTACAGTTTTAATTGTTACGTTCCCATACTCTGATGAGAAGTCAAGATGCGCATTTCATGCAAAGCAGTTCCTAGTACATGATAAGCAGTGAAATGATATAGGAATTAAAAACCAATCATTTTGTATTTACATTTACTCTCAGCAATGCAGCAGTCACAAGCGTTAGTTTTCACGAAATTATCATTAATCGATTAAAGAGGTACACGATTGTGTTGAGTTTTACAGTCTACATTACAGCGAGCCTGAGGCGCGTACACAGAGGGGGGGGTAATTTTTTGTGTGTAAACCCCCCCCCCCCTAAATTTCTCTAAACTCCCCGCCCCTTTTTGGATTTTTTTTTTTTTTTTTTATTAAAAAAAAAAAAATTAAAAAAAAAAAAAAAATCCATGGTTGACCTAAAAAAAGCTGACCTTACCCCCCCCCCCCCCTAACGGAGAAAAAATGTCAAATTTTCAAATTTCGAGACCAAAAAAAAAAAAAAAAGTGTCCTCTTAATACCCCCCCCCCCCCCCCCCCCCGCTTATTCAGCGGTCGGCTGAGTCGTTGCGATTTTTTGGGACCCCCCCCCCAAAAAAAAAGTGACCTCTTCCCCCCCCCCCCCCCCCCCCCCCCCCCCCCTTATTTAGCGGCTGGCTGAGTCGTTGCGAAATTTTCGGCCCATTTACCCCCCCCCCCCCCCCCCCCCCCCTTGAAAAAATCCTGCGTACGCGCCTGACAGCGAGAAGCAAATAAAAAGAAATTGCTTTAAAACTGAAAACAAATCCTGCTAAAGACATTTGATTGTATATTTTATACATGTATGATGCAACTGGAAATATGTACAATTAAATGTAAAGTTATACAGTATAAGACATCACGTAAAATAGTGTGTGGTGTAAGGGGTGCAGTAATCATGTGTATCAGATGCCGGATATTAGGGACTTTTAGATTTACACGACGAGAGCGTGGACTGCCGCGTGTGACATTGTGTTAAGGCACTGGGCCGTGCTCGGCACTGGCAGTGCCTTAAAAGGATGCCACACGTGGCGGTCCACGTTCTCGTCGTGTAAATCTAAAAGTCCATATCCATTTCTGCGTCCGCGTCGGTAATGACCTTTGATGTATGCACACGCAATGACTTTTGACGTATGTACAATGTCCTTGATGTATGTACAACGACGTGTGACGTACGCACAGTGACATTTCATGTTTGTACAATGACCTTTGACATAATATACGATGTCAATCAAACAGAGCATGACGATGAGGAATATCGAAATTTTGTGAGTGGTGAGTGGGTAAAAATTAATGGTATGTTCATGTGTGTGTGTGTGGGGGGGGGGGGGGGGAGGGTATATAACATGCGAGAGATATTATCTATTTCCGCATCCACGCCGGTAATGACCTTTTACCATCTGGACATGTATTTTTCGTATATGGGACCTCTTGTAGGTAGACCAGAGACCAGACCACTGGACCAACATGTTTCGCTCACATGTAAACTTGTAGGCATATTTGAAGATAACCCGAATCGCTTTTCGTTCAGTAATCTAAAGACATAATTTGTTGTGAGTTGAGCTATTTCTTCATTCTTATAATTCCTCTCCTTCCGTCTTTTGATTTGTGGGTTATGCTGGTTATTACCATAATCCTCCTAGGAAGCTTTTCTTATAAAATGATTGCTTGACGGCATAGTTCTCTCTCTGTTCATATCTCGCTTGTTCGAAGAAGGTCGTAAGTCGTGTCATATCTTCATCTCTCATTTCTATTTTGCCTGGTTTCTCCAGGCTACCGCATACGATCACGGTGTCAACGAGCTCAAATGTCAAAGGTTGTGACCTCTTGAACGATTCCATCCTGACTTCAAGAGTCTTAGGTTTGCAGTCGCTAAAATCATGGACAATCACGGCCAGCTTCTTCTTTCCTGAAATATTGAAGAAGAAAAAACAGGTAGATAGTGATTATGACCCACTTAGTTTAAAGACAGCTTTAAACTCTGGTCATTAATATACAAATAATACACATCAGTGAGGGCATTAGTAAGAATTACCCACGCGAGGTACCTTTGGAGCAGTCTAACACGCCCGGGGCGATAGCCGCGGGTGTCTGGACTGTTTCGAAGGTACCGAGCGTGGGTAAATTTACTAATGCCCGATCAAAATAATGTGTATCATTTGTTGTATAAGATGTTGTTTGATGTGTTATGTAAAAATGTTTTATAACAGGCATTACCGGTCATTAACAAAATTACGTGTTAGGCAAGAAAAAAATGCCCGGTCATGTGTACGCTCTCAACCAATCATTGGATTAGGACCCGCTTCATCATGTTATAATTTGTTTTATTCTACCCTATTCCGGTTTCCTGATTATCAAATCTGATGTCTCCAGCGACTCGTGAACGAAGATAAGCTGATTAGAGTGTGGAATAACCATATGAAAGTTGAAGGTTACAGTATTAACTTTTATGAGTTAATGCATGAACATTCTTTTGGAGAAAGATCCCTAAAACTGGTAGGTTACCTAGTCTTGAGGAAAGTTCGTCTCTATTATGAGTACCGGCCCAATAACTCTCATGTCAGAATTCAGGTTATACATATCATGACTGCGTATCGAATATGATTCAATTTTTGTTTAAAGTAACCGATAAGGTAAGGAATTTGGATGAAACATGCTTGAATATTAAAAAGAACGAACAAGAAATCTGTCAACACGGATGGAGCTATAACTGATAACAAAATTACAACGTCATCGTTTAAAAGGTATTAACTTACCAATCACATCGTGGCAATATTGCAGATGTTTTTCGTAGAGAGCATTCAGTACATTGGTGATTGAAAACCCTCGATTTTGGACTGAATGGCAGAGGACCATCACATCAACGGGGTCGCTTGACGGAAACTTGAATGAATCAATGTCGTTGTACGGTAGGCTACGAAAACGGACGTCGGCGATCAAATGAGGCGGTCTGGTTTGCAACTCGGTAAGCTTGGACACGAACCCTTTGACGTTGTGCTCGTAGGCGGAAGAACAGACTGAGATTGAGATACGACGAGGCGATGAAGTTGCGTGTGACCCTTGAGGTGCAGATGTGACATTTCTTCCAGCAGCCATTGACTGCTGGTCAGGTGCACCTTGGGTGTGTGCCGCTGCCGCTGCGATAGTTGTGCCTAGCCTTCGCTCCCCAATGAAAGATGCTTCACTCGTACTCGGTGGATTTAGGTTCCTTTCATCCATGCTAGCTTTAGGTTTCTGGTGAGAACCACCGGATGTGTTTTTCTTCGCTAGACCTACAAAACAGGCATTGAGAAAAACATTCTATACTGCTTGGTTCTTGTTTATCATGCCCACCGCACACTATACAATCTGATTACGATCAAATTTGAAATATAGCATTTGAGATGATCAATGAAATATTATGTAAATCCTTAATGACTGAAAATATAAATGTTCATATGATAACGAAAATATTAATCGTGTGGGATGTCATCCTTCCTTTAAAAGATGAAAATGCTAAATCGCTCAGAATCGTAGTGACGTCAGACCAGTATTACGATAGTCTACTATTTGAAGCCGAGTCGGCTTCTACGACTGTCTAGTCAGGGATATGATCCATAGTCTACGTTCATGGACACTTGGAAATTCGGTTTATTGTGTCGGATGGTACTTTCCGACATCGTTTAAAATGATAAATATACGAAAAGCCCCACTGCATGTCTGTTGGTCGAGATCTCGGGAGGGTTGACGATTTTAGAAAGTGAGTGAATTACTGTGAAGACTGGAAAACCATCGAGGTGGGACAGTTTAATAGCTATTACGTACATGGTCGCTTAGCCTGTTCAGATGAAGGCTTCCTTTTATTCGTCGACCGTTTTGTCTTGTTATCCTCAGTTTTAGCACTGCAAGTCGTACCCTGATCGTTTCGATCAACTTCTCTTGGATCCACCCTAGATCCTTCGGATGTGCTATCTTGACTCCATCTTAACGACGTCATTGATTCCCCGAAGGACCTAATAGCTTCATAAAGAGAGAGAGATACTGTACTCAATGTCACACGTAATATATATGACAAGACTACATGCCCAAATCGTACATGTCAATACAGCTTCACGACATTATACATGGGGCTTATATCGGAAATTAGACTTTGTTTTGCCCTGAGGAAGGGAGTGTTCTCCAGGTCTGACAAGCATTAGCTAGCCACAACAGATAGGAAGGGCAACAGTTATTGATATTTTAGATATTTTGTGTCGTCACATTTAACATCTTGTTGGCCAATATGTCAGTGAATTAGCCTGGACCGGCCCTCCAAAAAATAAACTAAATAGATAATTAAACTGGAATGGAGGTTATTTGATAAAGAAAAAAAATATGATAGTGTGCTTTTCATGACAGAATAGATTTTGAGGTTGGAAAGCTTCAGTCACACCTTCCTTTTTGTTTGAATCATTATATAATTTTAGAAATCTTTGACACTTCATGGGCAATGTTTGTCAGTGTTTATGTTTATGAATAGCATTTACAGAACTAAAAGAGAATCACAGTTAAAAAAAAACTGATTTTGTCATGCATTACTTACAGGAAGACACTTGGTTTCCAAATGTAACAATCCCGTCCTTTGCTTTTTGTTTTAATCCTTGTTTCTCTGTGATTTGATTCATCATTTCTTCTGGACATGTTGACGCATTCTTAAGGAACACCGGGAGCTTTTCTCGGTCTACTTTTAGCATCTGATTTAGGTCCTTCTCTTCCTTCTCGATATGTCCGCATATTATCTGAAGGCTGGTAGTCTCGAAGGCCTTTGGTTGCTTGTACTTGAATGAACTCATGCGAGATGATTGAACTGTTTCTCTCATATCTTCAAAGTCATGGACTATCACCCCCATCTTGTTCTTTCCTGGAAAAAATCAGAAAACAGGATTTTTCGAAAATAGCATGAAATATTCCAGCATTATACAAGATAGGATTCATTTCAAATTATATTGTCGTGAATTTTCCCAAGATTTTTTAACATAATATTCTTCATTGCCCCTTTTCAGACTTATTGAATTACACAGAATCACACCAATAAAGTTATAACAGCAGAACAAAGGCCGCACTGCGAATGTACGGGGTGTCGTTCGAATGATATATTGGAAATTACACTCCATCCTCCCACCCCCATCCCCCGCGAAATCTCAGCTAAAGTATTTAGTTTGTATTCCTTATCGGCACATCCCGAAACTTACTCTGTTCGTTAAAACAAAACAACAAAAAAAAATCTCTGAAAGTCGAATATATTTAGAGCCACTTTCGCTTTTTCCATTTGCTCATGTCACCATTTGGAAATATATTTGGAAATATGACGACCCTTTTGGGGGATTCTTCAGCTATTAACTTGTCTGCAAATGTGGTCAGACAAAACCTACAATCAGAATGATCCCGCGACACCCCTCGATTCACCATCTTACAGATCATGCAAACATAAACTCGCAGTGCATCACCTGCAAGCCGTTTTATCTAAGAATGAGCAGTAATTACCTACGACTCTCGCACAGTATGGAAGATACTCATCGTACAGGGCATCCATGACATCTGTAATGGCAAACCTTCTGTTGTTGATGGAGTGGCACAGAAGCATCACATCAACCGGGTTTTCCTTTGGAAATTTATAATGATCGAGATCGTTGTACGGTAGCGCATGGACCTTGACTTCTTTGATCAGTTTCGGATGACTATACATAAGATCTTTCAAGAAAGACACAAGGCCTTTTACGTTGAAGTCATATGCTGATGTACAAACTGAGATGGATACAGGACGTTCTTTGCTGACAGGCTCAAAGGGTTCCTCTGCATCCTCAGCAGGGAGTTTAGTACCCTTTCCTCCAACTCGCCCTCCATTAGTCTTCTGCTTCGTGGTTCCATCTTCTTTGGTTCCATCGTCGGTAGTTGCAGCGCCCTCCTTACTGACTTTCTGTTCTTCAGCCTCCTTTTCTTCTTCTGGCTTTTCTTTAGCCTTCCTTTCCCTAGCTCCCCCTTTGTCTTTCGGGTCTTTGTATCCTGAATTTCGATCTGGAGTTGTTGGGTTCGTCGTGCTATTACGGGGTACTGTGTGCATAATACAGTTTTATAAAAGCATTCAAAGCAATGGTTTATAATGTCACGGATTCTTATGAAGGTAAAAATTATTTGAAATAATGGAAACAATATTGTCTCTAAAAGCCATTGTTTACGATTGGATATTTTCCAACAGTTGTAATAGTCTTTGAATACAATCTAACACAATATCGATAACAATATTCAAGACAATTTTCTGAAAAATACCAATTTAGATTTGAAGAAAGGGGTTTATGGGGAATTGGGTCTATAGTGTATATTTAAAAAACTTGAACGCGATGAAAATTTGTGTTAACCAGAGAAGTGGTAGCGATCCTAGAAGATTCAGAAAGGCTCAAGATATGAAGGAGAAGATTTAAAAGAAGAAGCCACGATCCACCACGTTTTGTCGATTTTGTTTTGGCCTGGGGGGGGGGGGGTCGCAGCAGTCTCGTCTTTATGTGAGATGGGGTTATTATCGACCAACCCAAGTTTACTATAATCTGATGATTGCATTAGCGAGAAATGATAAGTGATTACTCAGATATGAAATGTAAATTATTGATCCAGCTCGAAAATTGATAAATCCTCATGGAGATGTAAGGATATGTCTTCATATTGTATCAAGTAATTAACCGTACTAGAGCTCGGAACAGAAAAGGTGAAATGAAGTGACACATACAATGAAAATTCATAACTTGGCAACGTACGGGACGCGTAATTTTTTCCCCACTTAGGCTCCGGACCCGAGTATGAACTCATTTGCATACAGCCAATCAGATCTCATCTTGTCGATAACAAGCTTGTAAAAAAAATTACGGATGCGAAAGGGTACGATGCGAAGCTCCTCATACACGAACAGCGCCGTGCCTATGTCAGCATGCATGGTGTGCTTGCATAGCCATGACACAGCTAGACTTGGTAATAGTTTCATTTGTGCTCTAGCATGTCTACCTTTAGCAAATTTATTATAGATCTACACCTTTAATAATAATATCAGCTTATGAAATTGCTGTGAAAATATATTACTTAGCACTAATTTAAAATTATTCCGGCAATCAAAGATATAGGTCTCATCGTCATCAAAGCCGCTATATAGGGACTCATTTCTAAAGATTTTACGGTTGAGAAATTTATTATAGATCTGCACCTCTAAAAGGTTCTAATAATATCAGCTCAAGAAATTGCTGTGATGTTCATAGTTCTCATGTAAGAATTCCTGCAATAACAGAAGTAACAAAATAAAGCTGATATTATTAGAGCATTTAAGAGGTGTATATAGTCTAGATGTATAATAAATTCTCAACCGTAAAATCTTAAGAAATGAGTCCCTATATAGTGGCTTCGATGACGATAAGGCCTACTTTTGATTACAAGAGTAACTTTAACTTCGTGCTAATTGATAGTTTTTCACAGCAATTACATTTATTTAGCTGATATCATTAGAGGTGTAGATCTATAATAAATTTGATAGAGGTATATACAAGCCTTTGCCTATGCACGCCCACAATGCGCTGTGTGTGTGTGAAGCTAGAGCTTCGCATCACCGTTTCGAATTTCGCATCCGTAAAATCTTTAGCACGCGTATAGCTTGTTATTGACAAGATGAGCTCTGATTGGCTGTATGCAAATGAGTTCAGACTAGGGTCCGGAGCTCAAGTGGGGAAAAAAATTTACGCGTACGGGACATCAAATGTATTGGACTTGTGCCCACTAATAATTATCAAACTAATCCACATTCTTTCATTGCATCGCACCTGTCTTTGGTTTAGTCCCTTTAGATTCGGTAGAGGAATCAGTTGTCTGTTGTTCTCTCCTTTCCTCTTCATCTGTCTTTTTAGAACCTTCAAGAGAAGCACATTCAGTGTCACGGTTGGGTCTCGCTTCTGGCTCCATTGCAAGAAATAATAATGAAACGTCGATTTTAGGGGAATCACGGCAGAATCACCTTCTAGTTAGATGGGTACACCTACCTCTAAGATTACCACAATCTGATGAGATGATAAGTCATTACTCAGGTATGTAATGTATTTTAACAAATTCTTGTTCAAAGCTCAAAGTTGTCCTCAAAATATATCCTCATGGAGGTGTAGGGATACGTATTCATATTGTATCAATATAGAGCTCGGATCAGAAAAAGTGAAGTGAAATGACACAAACAATTTAAATTCATAACTTGGCAACGTACGGGATATCAAATACATTGTACTTGCCCACTAATAATTATCAAATCAATCCATATTCATCCATTGCATCGCACCTGTCTTTGGTTTGGGTTCTTTGGGTTTGGAAGAGGAATCAGTTGTCTGTGGTTCTCCCTTTTCCTCTTTATATGTCTTTACAGAACGCTCAAGAAGAGTGCCTTTAGTGTCAGGGCCAGGATCCGCTTCTTGCTCCACTGAGGGAAAAAAAAGTATGTAATGTTGATTTTGGGGATCACAGCAAAATCGCGTTCTAGTGAGATGGGGATATTACCGAACACCTCTTAATAGCTTACCATAATCCGATGATTGTATCATAAAAATGATAAGTCATTACTCAGGTGCGTAATGTTTTTTTTAGCAGATCCTTGTTCTCAGCTCGAATTTGTGATAAATTATTATGGAGATGTAAGGATAAGTCTTTATTTTGTATCAAGTATTTAACCTTATTAGAGATTCTAGGGGGATCACAGCAGAATAGTCTGATAGAGAGATGAGGATATTACCTCTAAGATTACCATACGATGATGACTGAGTTATAAAGAAATGATAAGTCATTACCCAGGTAACTAAAGTGTTTTTGCAAATCCTTGTTCACAGCTCGCATGTTTTAAATATCCTTATGGACATGAAAGGATACGTCTTCATATTGTAAATATATTTAACCCTACTAGAGCTCGGATCAGAAAAAGTGAAGTAAAATGACACATACAAAGTAAATTTATGACTTGGTAACGTACGGAACATCAAATACCCTGTACTAGCTAGCCCACTAATAATTATCAAACTTATTCCTATTCTTTCATTGCATCGCACCTGTCTCTGGTTTGGTGTCTTTCGGTTTGGAAGAGGATCCTGCTATCTGTGGTTCATTACTTTCCTCTTTATCTGTCTTCCCAGAACTTTCACGAGGAGCATCTTCCTTGTTGGGGTTAGGTCCAGCTCCTGGAACCACTGATAGAAAAAAAATGTAATGTGATGTGATTAAAAAAGAAAAATATAATTGAAAGGAGAGGTATGAGCTTGTCAACATTTGTTTTATGAAATAGGTAGGAGTATCTAAATGACATTTATGACTGAAGTATTTCAAAGGCGAAACAAGAATAACCTGTGCTGATATGATACATGTAGAAATTACATGTTTATAATTATATGTGACAATGGATAAAGTAAGAACAAAACAACGCGAATGCCGAGAGTTTGTTCATATAAATCATACCGCAAAAAAATTATCATTACGCAAAAGCAAAGTTCTTTCTCGTTCGATTCGAGTCCAGGAGTCGTGCAGTATTTTGTTTTGATATCAATTTTGTATCGAAATTTAACATGCAAGAAGGTGGAAGTCAAATTGTCTGTGGAATGATGAATCATTGTTTAGACAAATTACCTGAAGGAGAAGATTTTCGGTTGTCTGTCAATGGGTCGGATCCGGTGGTGGTGGGTTGAACTGACTTGGATGGCGATGTAACACTATCACCATCGCTAGTTTGGACCGCTTCCCGTTGCACCTCAGCTCCTAATGGGTAAAGTAGAGTTCTTATCATCAGACGCAATAGAACTGTTTACCATAATGCTGTCTCCGGGACCCCCATAGTTAAACCGAAGTGACATGGTCTAGTTATGTTCGAAGTGTAAGTATTAGGAGCAGAGACATCTTTACGGTCGAAATGGATATCCGGTACAATTCGAATTAAATAAAAGGTTATTGACTTCGGAGTATGAGCTACATGTAATTAAACATAACTTAATATGCAACTTATCAATAATCATCGATTACTCTGTGTTGCCTATAGAAATCATGTTCTCACTAATATGTTGTCATCCTTGTACATTTAGTTTAATAGGTGACGCACAAGGATGTTGAAATTGCCTTGGGTAGATTTGTTTAATGACCTATTCGATCATTTTGATGGTTATCTAAGCAGCAGAAAGAAGATAACTATTGAAACTTCATACCTTCTTGTGAACGCAAGTCTCCTGCCAGGTGTTTCAGGTTTGCTTTATTTAGCGCCTCCAGCAAACCAGATAGCTGCTTTTCATCACGGGTCTTCTCTTTCCAGTCCCGTAACATGCGCAAGATTCCAGAACTATCTTTTGGTTTACCACCATATCCACAATACCCATTTAGTTTTGTAAGGCTGAACCCGAGATTCTGACCTAGCGAACAAGCATTTCTATACTCCTCACCCGGAAGAGCCTTGGCCAGCTTTTCAAGTTTGCTGTCGGGTATTCCACCTTAAATGTTAAGAAAAAATGACGACTTGTAAAATAGTATACATTAATGTTTACTGCTTACAAATACACGAGGAATACGGCTCAAAAGTATAGAAGCTTAAAGGAAATAGAAAGTTTTGGTATGGGGTCATGAATTTGGTTCAAATTAACATATTGGAAGCATTATGCTATCCTACAACATTCAGTGATCGTTGTCGCAGTTGAAATCGAGTCTAAATGTATGAAGTTGTAAATAATAAACTCTTTATGTTGCATAGCTCCCTCTCAAGGCCAATATATTAATTAAGCTATTAATTAAGCTAAACTAGGCGTTGTGGCGTGCGCCTGTAATCCAGCTTACAGTGGAAGTTACAAACTGATTCAGCAGAGGACGCAGGTTCGAAACTGAGTCACGTCTTTCGGATGGTGACGTTAAAGGTCGGTCCCCAGACGTAAATAATCATATCTGATTGATACACGTCTGTAAAAACCAAATACACACACACACACACTATTAGACTAAATTCGACCGATTAGTTATTCCCGTTTGGAAATTATATATTACAACTACATATTCTGAGATTCTCATGGTCGCAGCTACCATTGTACGGCCGTAGGCGCTATTTGAAATTCATCAAAATTTACCGGGAGCACCGGTAAATATTTATATTCCATTTTTCTCGAAAGCAGAAGTGTTTTAGGGGCTAAATTTTCTCATGCTTTTAATAAATCCACAAGGGCATCCAAATATATCAAAATTGCAAAGAATCACTATCCACCCAATTTTCAAAATTTCCCAAAACTTTGTATTACCTTTAACGAAACGAAAGCCTTAGAGATGAATGCAGACCTATACAGAAGTATAGCCAGCAGTGGATTTTCCATTGTTTGTAATTATTATTTATTTTTTTAAGGGGGGGGTGGGTTAACGGCCTATGCCCTCTTTCAACTTATCCTGTCGAAAGAATACGTGGTGTAACCAGGGAGGTGAAAGAAAGGAGGCGAAACTCTTGTAATTTATTCAAACGTATTCGTGAGTTCTAAAGCGTAACAATGGGATGTGTAACATTCCACCTGGCTTTGAAGTTCCGTGCTCCAAACCGCGCTTCCACTGCGGGGAATTTCGGAAGCCAGGCACCAGTTTTACACTTATTACAAAATATTAAATTACCGGCACAATTTCAGTGTAAATCAAAAACTTTATATGAAGATTGTATTGGGAATAGTGCATCAAACACATTTCCAAATTTAGAACTCCGTCCTTCCTATAATTTGTGTGCCAGAGTTGGTTACAGAAAAAATTACATCCTGACAAAAACTCAATAGTTTAGGATAATGCGATCATTTTGTGCATGTTTTAATGTCCCATTATTTGATCCATGATTTACAATCTTCAATAACATTAAGTTTGCTAATGCGTGTTTTTGCGTGTTTTTTGTATTTTTGAAGTTAAAAAAAAGATGAAATTACAAAAGTTTGAGTTCGCTTGTTCTACTCTTTACACATTCAACACTGGATGAGAAATCATTCAAATGGGCAGCGAACAGTTGATGTGATACTATTGTCTGATGTAGGAATTCTAAATCCTGAACTTCATGCGGTTTTTCAACAGTTGCAGATAAGCGCATAACTTTTCGGCGACTTTGAGCATGGGCAGGCGCGGATCCAGGATTTCTTAGGGGGGGGGGGGCAAAGTTGAAATTTTGCGAGCCAAATATTGGTACGTAATGGTGACAACGGCAGTGGCAAAAAAAAACTTTTTTTTTTTTTAGGGGGGGGGGGGGGTAGACAAAAAAATCAACCCACTCTTACATGCAGGCCCCGCTGAACGTTTCTCGGCGGGGGTCAAGGGGTGGAGCCCCCAGAAACTCAGGGGTATGGGCATCTAATTACTGTAAGATGAACATATTTTGATACCTTATTTGTGACACTGGCTAGACACAAATCGGTGTTGGGTCCAGGGGGCAGAGCCCGCAGAAGCTCAGGGGTTCTATACATTAAATTATCGTCAGATGAGCATATTTTTATACCTTATTTGTGACACTGGCAGGACACAAATTGGTGTTGGGTCCAAGAGGCAGAGCCCCCAGAAGCTCAGGGGTTTTATATATTAAATTATCGTCAGATGAGTATATTTTTATAACTTATTTGTGACACTGGCAGGTCACCAATTGGTGTGGGGTCCAGAGGGCGGAGCCCCCGGAAGCTCAGGGGTTTTGGGCAATAAATTACGTTCAGATGAGCATATTTTTATACCTTATTTGTGACACTGGCAAGACACAAATTGGTGTTGGGTCCAGGGGATAGAGCCCCCAGAAGCTCAGGAGTTTTATACATTAAATTATCGTCAGATGAACATATTTTTATACCTTATTTGTGACACTGGCAGGTCACCAATTGGTGTGGGGTCCAGAGGGCGGAGCCCCCGGAAGCTCAGGGGTTTTGGGCAATAAATTACGTTCAGATGAGCATATTTTTATACCTTATTTGTGACACTGGCAAGACACAAATTGGTGTTGGGTCCAGGGGATAGAGCCCCCAGAAGCTCAGGAGTTTTATACATTAAATTATCGTCAGATGAGCATATTTTTATACCTTATAATTATGTGGAAATGGATATTAAAAAAGTAATACCGCAAACAAAATTATCATTACGCAAAAGCAAAGTTCTTTTTCGTTCGATTCGAGTCCAGGAGTCGTGCAGTATTTTGTTTTGATATCAATTTCGTATCGAAATTTAACATGCAAGAAGGTGGAAGTCAAATTGTCTGTGGAATGATGAATCATTGTTTAGACAAATTACCTGAAGGAGAAGATTTTCGGTTGTCTGTCAATGGGTCGGATCCGGTGGTGGTGGGTTGAACTGACTTGGATGGCGATGTAACGTTATGACCATCGCTAGTTTGGACCGCTTCCCGTTGCCCCTCAGCTCCTAATGGGTAAAGTAAAGTACAGAGTTCTAATCATCAGACGCAATAGAACTATTGACGATAATGTAATTCATAATAACATCTTTATTAATGGAATACACTTGGCATACATTATTGCTATATCTGGTAACCCTCATGATAGCTTCCTAGCGTGGCGATCCTATACGCTTCAGAAAGGTTCGAGGTTTGATGGAGAAGATTGAAAAGCCACGATCCACCACCTTTTTTTCCGGGGGTGGAGGGTCGCAGCAGAATCGTCTTCTAGTGAGATGGGGTATTACCGACTACCTCTAAGATTACCACAATCTAATGATTGTATTAGACAGAAATGATAAGTCAAGACTCAGGTATGTATATGAAATTTTAGCAATCCTTGTTCACAGTTCGAATTTTCGACATGGGATGGTTTCAGATGAAGCCTACACCTTAATTCGGCATGGGACAGAAAATGATAATTAGCGTTTTTATTGATTACTTGAACATTGATTCCTTTCAGTTATTTCCAACTTACCTGAACCGGACAAAGCTTCTTGAGTCCCATTAGATGAGGAGTCCTCCATATTGTTTCGTTTGATAGATTGAGCTGTTGGGGCATCTGGGGTCTTTTTACTAGGTTCTTTGATTGCTGAAGACAAGAAAGTAATCAAATATTGCTTAAAAGACTTTTATAGTGACTTGACTTGGATTGTGCCAAAGGCAGAAATTGCAGGTTGGTCATCAGTTCTGCAGATTGGTCATGTTTAAAGTTATTTTTAAAGGACAAGTACGCAATATTTTGTTTTGTAATGACTGGTGTATATTACATACCTTACTCCACATGTTTAGGAACAGAGTATACTTTTGGTTATTTAAGAAGAGCGAATACAAACGAAAAATACTAAATGATACTAAACTGCCATAAATTTACTAGATCATACCTTTTTTTCCTTCGAGTTCTGTCGGGGAATCAGCGGGTGTTTGTGGAGAAACGCCATCCTCATATTGCTCCGTTCTAGATGTTTCCCCTTGATCGGTTCCTGGATCCGCTGCAGATTAAAAAAAAAAAAACATTAGCAGAACTGAATATGTTCATTATATAACGGTATGTTATATGGAAATGTTTTAAAATAAACTATTCTGAACTGTGACAGTTCGTATCTTTTAAGATAGGCCTATACCTATTTTGCCACTAGGAAAATATTAGCGCAAGTAATGAATACGTAAATAAGGTAGCATGACGGTCCTAAAAACAAGTTGAATGGATGATATGAATTTTGAACAGGATATTTAAACATGTTATAGTAAAGAGCACCGAAGTGCGAACGTTAGATTCGCTCGTCGTCCAGGTTACTGATACCAAAAACAAAGCTGTGCATGAGGTTCACCGCAAAATCATTCAAGCAACGGACTGGAGCAGGACAAATTCAGTGTTTGGTGCTTGTGTGATCACCACGCCATTGTATAGCACAAGATTATTTGGAACCAGCACACTTGACCAAACTTGGCCAGTATGACGTCACTCTTCGGTACTCTTAAGCCTTCAGATGCATTTTACGTCATCCTGTTTCTACAATCAATGAAAAGTAAACGGGAGAAGGGATGCAGACGAGTGCATGTCCACTTTGCAATGTATTAATAGGTATGGCAACTTTGAATTTTTGGTCGCCCTCGATCGCCCACATGCCACATAAGTTTAACACTATTCACTATTAAATCTGAGAACGATGGTCATTTTAAACCTACCTTGACTGGAATCAGGATCCGACTGCTCTTCTGAATTTGAGGCTTTCGTCTGGCCTGTCTTCCCTAGGGCTTCATCAATTGGCCCCTTGACCTCTGTTCAGAACAATAACCAAGCAGAGGTGAACAGACTTCTTAAGGCTTAACATTTTTATCCGGATTGTGTATAGGCAACAATCATGTTTAAGTATGTTATACTATTCTTATTGATTTTTCCAAATAGAATAAATCACAATATTTTTTAATGAAAACTGTTCAGGGATTGATACTAAAGAGCAATATCAGTTCAAAACATTCAAATATAATTGAATATAATCGTAATTATAATGAGGTACGAGTTCGCCATGCAGGTCTACGCCGAATTCAAGGGGGGATAATTTGCCACGAGTTTACTCTACGAAATGTAAACATTTCACGTTCGATACATACTGTTTAAAATAATGTATAATTATCGGTTATACTCCCGACATGATAATTATATATATCCCCTCTTATTTAAAGTAAAGGCGCCTTTCACCTGCTTTCGTTTCCACACGACGTGCATTTTCTTGGAACTCGGATTCCTCCGTCGGTGGAGCATTGTCATTTCCTGGTGGCAGCGTTTCGTACGGCTGCTCCGAAGTGGTTTCTCTTCTGGGCAAAACTAGAAAAGGGTAAGAAGTTGAGGTTGAGATTATTCTGAGTTCTGATCGGGGTGAAAAACTAATTTCTGAGCTCTCATATTCTTCTTTTTAGTGTAAATCTGGTAGACTATCATTGTAGAAAAAAATATCCTGAAGATGATTGCTCTTCAAATACCCTCCAATTCGGAATATGATGAGAAATACCTGACGTGTTTGGACCAAGCTTTTCATGCCACGTGATTGTGTAAATAGTCCCACATGTATGCCTATTTATGTCTGAAGTGCAAATGCTCTTTAACTAGGCCTAGTCAATTTCGTATTATTTTGATGATTCAAGAGTCCCACACTAAATACCAATCCTTATTTACTACACAATTGATCTTTCCCAATTAGAAATTTAATAATATTCCATGCCTAGAACTCAACTTTATCTTAAAACGGACCGTAAAGTCACGTAACATACTTGATGATTTGTTTCTCCTCTTTAAATCCCTTTCAAAAAAGATGTATACAAAAAATTACGAATTGACAAAGCTTTTAATTTGAACTCAAATGGATTTTCAGAAGAATCGGTCTCCGTATTGAAGATCTCATTTTCTTCACTTTATCAAGAAAGAAATATACCATGATAAATATAATGGCAGAAATATTTAGAGTTTACGCAGATTATTCGAAATGATAGGGAGAATTACAACTACATTGCTTATTTTATCGGTGAATTCTTATTAACAAAGAATTGGAAAAAAGTCATATCTTTCATTTAAAACGATGACAATTGCCGAACGAATATTTATAGTTGTGTTTGGTACTCAGATTATTTCAAATGATGAAGAAATATACAACTACTTTTCTTGTCACTTCGGTGAATTATAATGAGCAAAGAATTGAATAAAAAGTCTTATTTTATTTTACTAGTTTGATTATGTTAATAATAATAATAATAATCCGTTTTTTTATATAGCGCTCAATACACCGATCCAACGATGTGCCTAAGTGCTTTACAGATATATTATTACCCCGGTCATCGGATTCAAGCTTACCCGCACACAATGTGTGCATATTTTCCACTCCCTGGGGAGCATTCCAGCCAGTCGCCATTTTACAAGCGCACACTTGCTCGTTCAACCACATGAACGTTCGCATCCTACCGGGTACCCATTTAACACCTGGGTGGAGAGTAGCAAGTGCAGGTTAATATCTTGCCAAAGGATATTAGTGCCGTTTCATTTAATACACAATTGTCTTGATTATATATTCTTCTGGCCCTATACGAAAGAAAATATCTAAACATTGTTGAAAGATCAGATGAACGGATAAATAAGAGATCACTGTAGACAATGTTCATGTATAAGTGGCCATCTTGAAAGTGCTTTATTCCCATATCCTTCCGCCAATCGCGGCCTCATTACGCACATCAATGAACTATTGGTGTTGTTCATATAGTACCACAACATCCCCCTTCTTTCAATGACAAGTTGATAGTGCTCTCCTTAACCAGTTGTATCTTCCCTGCTCAATATGCACTGTGCATGACGGAAATTATCCACTAAAACAGTAACACAATTTAGAAATTTCAACAGGAGGAAACATTCCAAACATATTCTTTTTTTTTCTTTTTTTTTTCGAGAAGCACAGTACTAAAAACTGTTCAACTAAAACTTACAAGTACCTTTCAACAAGAAAAGCAAATTTTAGAATGGTAAAATAGTGTCCTCCACTATAACAGGCATATTTTGTTGCTGAATCGACATATTTGTATAATGTAATTCAACTTTTTATACTTTACATAACTTTTGCTGGAATAAACTGAAGTGATACCATATTGCTTTCTGGCAAACAGTTATAAACAACATTTTCCTTCGAAAAAACGTTTTTCATCCCATTTTAATTAGGACTTAGCAATACGACAAATCTGCGTAACAAAACTATAATTCCTGGTATTTGTGTGGAGAGTTGAAATATCATGCACGAGCACGGCATACAATTGCTAAATTCGGTTCTGTATACAAAAGAGATTTTCTGTTGAAAGATAACCAATATTAAGCGTGGCAGTTATATAAAACACTTTGGTTATACATGTATACTGATTAAGAAATTGAATCACCTTATGTCAAATATGAGGTTTTACTATCATCAATGTAATTCTACCGGATATGCTAAATCATTAACAAATAAAGTATAGTTGTTGTTTATCAATCTATTAATCGATGAAGTTTTTATTCTTGATAACGAGATGGGGGATTAACCTTGCGACCATATCGTGTGACATAGGCAAAAGAATCAGAACGAGGGATTGAACCATCGAAATCCTGTGTTCCTGCGGGTGTTGTGCAGTTGTCACCATCCTCTCTTGGAAGATGCTCTGTCCCTGGTGGTGGTGCTGTTGCCGTCTCTATTTGTATCGGCATCTCTCTAAGATGGGACCTGTTTCTCCTTAACACCCTACCATTGGGTGTTGTCACTTCATATGATCTTGGTTCTGGGCAAACTCTTGAAACCTCAGCCGGCAGCCATGTGTTGTCTTCTGGATGCAAGGTTCTGACTTTCTGGCCGACCTTCAGGAGGGGCAGTACCCGGCCGACATGTCTGTCATGGTCGCTCTTCATCCTATCCCTCCTTCGCTGGAGCTGGTCGTGGACATCGCTCATCTGTCTGTCATGGCGACCTGGAAGTGTTGTCTTCATTTGCCTCCCAAACATCATCTCGGCAGGAGATGGCAGGTCGGACTGAGGCGTTGCTCGAAGGTGGAGAAGTGCCTTTTGGACATCTTGTCCTGTCTGTTTGCACTTCTGAATCATCGACTTTATGGTGCGTACCATCCGTTCAGCTAGGCCGTTAGAGCGCGGATATCTCGGCGATGAGGTGGTGTGCTTGATGTTCCATGACTCACACATGTCTTTGAAAGCTTTTCCAATGAACTGGGGTCCGTTATCAGATATAACTTCGGAGGGCACTCCAAGGAGGCTGAAAGTTTCTTTCATTACGGTAGCAACTGAAGCACTTGTGGTGCTGTGCATTTTCCTGATCACAGGGAACTTGGAATGATAGTCAGTAATGAGTAAGTATTCAGTTCCCTCAAGAAAAAAACAGGTCTGTGGCTACCTTTGTCCATGGCGTCATTGGAACTTCGTGCGGTTGTAGTGGTTCCCTTTGTTGCCGATCCTGGTTCTCCTGGCAAGCAGGGCAAGTCTTGACAAGGTTTTCGATATCCTTATTGATGCCTGGCCAGTATACCGTGTCCCTTGCTAGTCTACGAGTTCTCTCTATACCCATATGACTCGTGTGTAGCTGCTCCAGGATGTCTGATTGCAGCGTTGAAGGTATCAACACCTGTCTTCCTTTGAAGATAATGCCGTTGGCGACGCCCAGTTCCTCTCGGTATGACCAGTGAATCCTTGAGCTGCTTGGAACCTGCTTAATCACGTCTGGCCATCCATCGTGAATAATTCTACTCAGCTGCTTCAAGTTCGGATCGCTTGCTGTCTCTCTCTGCAGCTGTGTCTGCTTCATAGGTGTAAAGCTTGCCAGATCAGTGTCATGATTCTCGTCTAATTCCATGACTTCATCTACACGGAGCTCAACGATGACGTCTCCTCTCTTTCTGGGGTTTGGCAACCTACTGAGTGTGTCTGGTAATGTCATCTGACTTCCGGGCTTGTATAGGATATCACAATCATAGCCCTGTATTTTGACGAGAAGTCTCTGTAGTCTTGGAGGCGCACTCCCCAGGGGCTTTCTACAGATCGTTTCGAGTGGCTTATGGTCAGTGTAGACTGTGAACCGGTTGCCAAACAGATATGAATGGAAACGTGTGATCCCAAAAACAAGTGCCAATGTCTCTCGCTCGATGTTTGAGTAGTTGGATTGTGCATCTGACAAACTCTTCGAGGCGAATGCGACTGGTCTTTCATTCTGAAGGAGGCAGGCTCCAAGTCCTTTGAGCGATGCATCTACCTCCAGTACTGTTGGGACACTGGGGTTATAGTACCGTAGACACTTTCCTTCTGAAATGTCTGATTTCAATCGTTGAAAGCATTCCTCATGGTCCTCCTGCCAGGTAAAGGGAACATCTTTCTTCAGAAGATCACGCAGTATTGCTGACTTTTCAGCATAGTTTGAGATGTATGGTGATAAATAGGTCATCATCCCTAACACTCGCTGGAGATCGTCCTTGTTCTGTGGTGTAGGCATTTCTCTGACATCCTCCAACTTGCTAGGATCTGGTTGTATGCCTTTGTCTGTGTACAGTGAACCAAAGAAATTGATGCTTCTCGCCTTGATCACACACTTTGTACTGTTGAACACCAGACCTTCTTTTTGTGCAACTCCCATCAGTCTCCAGAGGTTATCATCATGCTCCTGTTCAGTCTTGCCAAATACTGCTATATCGTCAGCTATACCTTCACAGCCGGGCGCCTGTGCAAGGATTGTGTCCATCCTTTGTTGAAAGACGTCTTGACTCACCGAAAGTCCAAATGGAAGTCTGCGAAAGCAATACCTTCCAAATGGTGATCTGAATGTAGTAAGCTCCTGCGATTCTTCGTCCAGGTGGACTGACCAATATCCTGCCTTTGCGTCCAATTTCGAGAAGTACTTGGCCTGTGAGAATGCAGGATTGAGCTCCTCTAGAGTTGGAATCTTATGAGGGCATCTCTTCAGGTTTTGATTGAGCCTTTTGGGGTCAAGGCAGACTCGCAATGACCCATCCTTCTTCAGGGCTGTGGTGAGGGAACTGCACCAATCTGTGTGATGAGTAACTTTCCTAATGATGCCGTTTCTTTCCATCTGATCCAGCTCTTTCTTGAGCTTGTCCCTCAGGTGGACGCTGCATTTTCGAGGCGCATCAATTGATGGAGTTGCATCCTTCTTCAAGTGCAACGTTGCCTTGCCACTGAAGTTCCCAATCTGGTCAAACTGGTCTGGGTAAGCCGCCTGTAGGTCTTTAGCTGACCTGATGGGAGGAAGATCATTTGGACTGTCCAGGCCCATCTGTTGTTCTACTGTGTGAATCGTAACAATCCCTAGCTTTCTGGAAGTAGGAAGTCCGACAATGACTGGTCCCTTTACGTCCGCAACATACCATGTTTGGTCTACGACCCAAGGCGACCCTTCATACATCATCGACATCATCAAGGTGCCTAAGCAGCGTAAAGGCGTTTCTCCGTAGGCAGATAGTCGCGTAGTGGTGGGACGGATAACATCTTTCCATCGAGCCCTGTACATGTCCTTCAGCGTCCGCAGTGGCAGAACATTACCGCTGGCTCCTGTGTCAACCTTTGCATTGAGGCGATGGTGACCCCTCAGGTCTGGACATATGATGTTGATACTCGCATATGCTTCGGTCTGCTCCGAGTCAATAGAGTTTAGCGATATATGTATCATGTGGAAATCACGTTCCTCACTGTCCGGTTGGTTTGTGTCGTCCGGTCCAATTTCGTCAACCTTACGCTGGTTCCTGCTATGAAAGGATGTAGACCTATACTGCCTGTTTCTTGGCTGTCTCTGCTGTGAGCTCCACCTGTCTTGTGATGGTGGACATCTAGGAGGGATCTTCGATTTGACCGGATCTTTCGTCTTTCGACACATCTTCGCCCAGTGTCCTTTGACGCCACACGCATTGCACAGGTCCCCGAAGGCTGGACACTTCTTTGGAAGGTGTGAAAGACCACAGTTCCTGCATTTCTGCCTACTGTCGTGACTAACAGCATCAATGTTCCCACTTCCAATGGTGTGGAGCGTCTGCAGGCACTGTTTACCGACTTGAATGGCCTCATATTTGCGGCCTTCTTCAAGAAGCTTATCAACTGAGAACCCTTTTTCTTTGTCGAGTAGGTCTTTCTGAAATGACTCGAGTTGTGTAGACGAAATCACCAGCTCTATAAGTCTTTCACTCAATTCCCCTTCGGTGAATTCACATTCCTTTGCCTTACTCCGACATCTATTGACGAACTCGTCGATCGTTTCTCCAGACATCTGCTTGTATCGCATTAATTCGAGACGATGAATCCTGAAGTTCACTTTGACATTCAGTTGGCCTTCGATTAGGGCCCATAGCTTGCCTGGGTCCTTCTGATCCTCTGCGCTGAGGCTAGAGGCGTTTATCCTGCGTAACCCTTCGTTCCCAAGAGCTATCTTTATTTTTGTTGCCTGTTTTGTAGTATCAGTTATCTCATTATCGAGAAGGCAAAGTTCCATTCGCTGTTGAAATAACGTGAATTCTTCAGCGAGACCACACCGAGAGTCCCACTTCATCTCTGGATAGCGGGCCATGGTCCTGGTTTCTACAATGGGGTCTTGGACTACACAGGTAATTACATGTAATACATGAATTGTGACTTAGATCGACATGTAGGCCTACAGAGCAATTAGCATTTACACTAGGGTCTATAGACTCTATGTACAACTTCAAAATGCAGGTTCAAATGTATCAAAATATATCAAGTCTAGATCCATAGACAATTGGACCCCCTTGTGTAATTGGTCTAACATAGACAACTGGTCCTGGACCCGCTTTAAGGGGATACCACAGACCACTGTTTGGTCTAGTACCAGTAGAGTCTACCACTAGATCTAGACTATATCTAGATCTAGTAGAGTCTAGTAGTACATCAGCTCTTCTACATACATGTAAGAGATGTGTATCATTCATTTAATTAGGACAGGTCCACATGTAGAAATTGGACTCGTCAAGGTCTAAAGTAAACACATCTAGAAATCTAGACTAGACCTAGTCCAGATCTGGTCTAGATCTAGACCAGGTCCAGTAATATAGAACAAGGTGACAGTAGATTTTGATCAAGTTACACCTTCTTAGTCATACTCATTCTCATACTCGGTCTAGTCTAGATCCATAAGTAGAGTCTAGACTAGAAAAAAAAGTGTCTAGACTATCTATCTAGGCCAGGTCTTGATCTAGACCCCTAGACTAGACTAGATTCTAGTCCAGTTTTATACGTCATAGCACATTAATTATGGTTTAACTGTTTCAAACCGAGTCCAAACATTATATGTCTGCTTAGATTATAGTCCATTTGATTAAGAGTCTAATCTTGTTTTCATTCCACAATCACTGAATCAGATCCAAGTCCAGCAATCAGTCCTGGATCTACTTGCACGGTCCGCAACACGACGCTCTGGGTCCGAGTGGCGTACGCTAGTTCCAAAACCAAAATGCAGTGCAGGGCTGGAAGTCCGAGGTAGCGGCCTATAGCTGTACTGTTCCCGGTCCCGGTCGAGCCTCTAGGCTCTGGTCTTGTCGAGCCTCTAGGCTCTTCTCCTGACGAGCCTCTAGGCTCTGCTCCTGGCGAGCCTCTAGGCTCTGGTTCTGCCTCCGCATCAGTTCTGGTCCTGAATGTAGGGCTTTAATAGTCTGATAGTCAATACACTAGTCTACTCGTAGTGTTGCCCGCGTAATAGTACAGTGCGCAACCTTTCGCCGACACAAAGTCATATTGGAGACGCGGCTGTGAGTTTACTCTGCTGGCTGTGCAGTGTGATTGTCGGCAGTTCAAAAACCGTCCCTATCAATCTTTCATAAGTCATTCAAGATTATTGCTGGCCCTATGTGATCTGCAGTTCCATAGTAATAGATATGGCAATTCTTTTGACCGCTGCCACCATGTTGAAAGATCAGATGAACGGATAAATAAGAGATCACTGTAGACAATGTTCATGTATAAGTGGCCATCTTGAAAGTGCTTTATTCCCATATCCTTCCGCCAATCGCGGCCTCATTACGCACATCAATGAACTATTGGTGTTGTTCATATAGTACCACAACAAACATCAGACAATCTGAACAGCAATGGGGCCAGTTCGGGGTACAATTTTTTATTTTATAATATGCAAAATTGATTGCACAGCTTATATACACGTATAAATTGCAACAAAGTTAAGATTCGCAGATAACTCAAGTCGGATCACTGAATATACCTACCTTCAGGATCTTCTGTCTTAATACCATCATCCACATTTTGGTCTACGCCATTCTCTGTATCTCTGTTGTCTACAGCCCGAATAGTTTCTTCCTCTTTGGTGTCATCTGTGTCATTTCCTCCTCCATTTTTCCGACCTCCCTCGCTCTTTTCATCCATATCCGAATGAAATTACGTGTTCAAGGGGGATATGTTAAGCTCTAGATGTGAAGAAGAAAGTTTACGTTTTAAGCTCATTTGGCAGAGTTTATTCATCTTTGGCGAAATTCCACTCCATTCAACAACATGTATAAAGGCAAACTACAAAGTTATCATAATTGGTATACATGTTATCTACAATGATTATCTAGAAGTAATTTATAGTTTAAAAGTATATGATTTTAAAGAAAGTTGAGGTTTTGAGACTTAGTTAGAGATTTTCAAAAAATCATTCAGAGAAAAAGGAAAAGATTTCTATTCATCTTGGCCAGTGCAATTGCTCTAAAATTAGATTCAATTTTTGACTTCACAAAAACAATATTTGTGAAATTCTGACAGGATAATTGGATGAATGATTTAAGTGAGATTATTATTTTTTTTTAAACAACGGAAAATATCAATGAATTTATCCGTAGATCTAAGGACAACTGCTGGGCTATGTTATCTTGCATAAGATTTTTGATCAGTCGACACATTAAATTGTAATATTTAAGAGTTATAGACCGTTCACATCATCCGCTTATTTGAATGCCTATGAACAAAATCACAAAATCTAGACCCTTGTGTCCTTTTTTCCTTCACGATTCACTTCTTAGCACGTCTCTCTCTCTCTCTCTCTCTTTCTCTCTCTCTCTTTCACTCTCCCCCTTCTCTCTCTCTCTCTCTCTCTCTCTCCACACCCCTCCTCTCTCTTTTTCTCTCTCTACCTCTTTCTTCATTTATTTCTATATTGCAAGTATGTAAAGTTTTCACCGGCGCTCTTTTCCTTCTGTACAACCACAATATCAATATTACTTCCCCTTTTTTACGATTCAAAAGCTTCAAAATGTCAACCATATACTTTGTTCATAATCATCCTTAGAGGGGCGGGGAGGGAGTGCTCGTCTAAGACGGTGCACGGTGCAACTACTTCTGGTTGCTGTTTGCGCAAACACAAAATCCATAAACATGTATCAAATGAATATGGACCCACTTTTAGTACTTGACCTTAAACATTGATCACTATTTTCTTCAGAATAAAAACAGCTCACCCATATTTTCGCTAAAGTGCAATTCCCACATGCAAACATAATTATTTGAAATCATTTCGCTTTTCCATCCAAAGTCTTGATCATGGGTACTTTTTTTAAACCAATATGACCCTTGAAATCATGATGGGTATGGATTTAAAGGCTTCAGCTGTACACCCCGGTATACAAATCCTGGCCACTCCACCCCCCCCCCTTTTTTTTTGTCAAGAAAGATAGAGAAATCAATAAATAAAATATAATTCATTCATTTTTTTCTACACGGTTATTTTTGTTTGCGTTTTCTCTGCACTAAACTTGTTGACCATGTTGTCAATTACCGGCTATACAAAAACAGGCCAAGAACAACAACAAAATGCAAAAAGTCAACGAGCCAAGTTACGTTTTTTTGTTTTTTACATCCAAATAACAATATATTAACATGGGGTGGTAAAAAGAATCCTAAAATAATAAATTATCTATTTTACTGTGAAACACGATGATCGATAAGCGAACACAACGTTCATGCAGTTGTCTCATATAGCCAGGAAGCTGAATGTGAATATGAATAATACTAAAACGTACTAACACAAATAACAAAATAAAAATATAACGTTTGGTGTGTCTACTCACCCGTTAACATTTGCACGGTCAGTTGAATGAATCTATTGACGAATATGGCCTCTCGTTCTCCGCCTCTTTTGTAATCAACAGTAACAAAATCTATTTACCGTTATTCGAGTCGGTGCATGCACACACCCCATGAACGTTTTGTTAGAGGTCTATGCACATACACAATCGAAGAATTGCTACGTGTGTGCGCGCGCTCTGCGCGAGAGTCACCATGATGACCTAATGGGGATTCCCCTACGACGAAAGGTCACTGGGAATTCCCAGTCTGCAATGAATGTTGTATTTCTCGCAGTTGTTGCTGTTTCGTGATTCTAGTTCAATCGATAGTTCTTACTCAAGTATGTTTTCTTATACATACATTCTAAGTATAGTATGGTGAGGATATAGGGGGATGGTGTTAGATAGGAATACATAGACAAATTGTGTGACCATGATATTCGTGTAATAAGTGTCATGTAAAATTAAAATTCCGTTTGGCGACCGCTGCACCAATTTGACTGACTTGAAAAGTTTATTTCAAAATAACTCATAAGCCTATTCGAATATTCAAACATTGATTTTGCTATTTTGGACTTGTACTGAACAAATGCTATTTCTTATAGTAAATATTAAAAAAAAATTAATAATCAAAGGACGGCTTAATGGAAGAACTTGGTATGAAATCATGAAAATAAGTAATACTCAAACATTAACTATTTTTTCTTTTTTTACCAGTAGGCCTTGAGCTATTATTGCACTAATGATGAATAAATCAAACATTTGGTCTCTAAGTGAAGTTTTTGGAGACCGAAGGCTTTATTTCAAAATGATTTAGGCCTGCCTTCACAGAAAATCATGTTAATAAGTGAATATAATCTAATTATCATTGTGAAGATTAGGCCTGCATACTGGCATATGGCTGGTGGGTTAATGATTGATTAAAGAGGTCTTTTACCCATCATTCCACAGAAAAAGGCCTTCTTCTGACAATTTTGAATCAGTTTACTCACAAACTCACGATGACTGGGCACAGTGTACTGGCGGGATAGGGGCAACACGTTTGATCGGCCGTATATTCTATATAATGCTACAATTAACACCCTTTGACCGCCATGATCATTGTCAGATTCCAAAGAGGAATATGTCCATTCATTGTAATTGAACATATCCTACCAGAATGGCATGCCCATGCTAATCCCATGCAGGCGCGTACGCAGGTCCCCTTACATTTTTGGGGGGTTTGTTTTGGTGGAAACCCCCCCCCCCCCCCCCTCAAAAAACATGAGTTGTTAACAATGTATCAAATTGCGCTTCTGTGTAAAATTCACAATTTAAAAATGTATTTCAATAGAGAAACAAGAGCATCAACCTGTACACTTCCAAATAGGTTTAATGCATAGCCATCTAAAGTCCTTTCTTTGACAAAATTCAATTCGAAGTCGGGATCTAGAAAAAATACCCTTAAATGCGTACATCAGCGCGAACAGCAGGATTTCGAAAAGGTACCCTTTTTCTTGAAAATTGCCCAAAATGGACGTTTTTTAAACCGTATCCGGACACCTACCCCCTGGACATCCACCCCCCCCCCCCCGAATAACCACCCAAGCCAACTACCCCTAAAGACAACCACCCCCGAAGGCAATCACCCTCAGTAGGACGACTACTCCCGGGGACAATTACTCCCTATACAACTACCCCGGACAACTACCCCCTGACGACTACCCCCTCCCCCCATTCAACCAAACCCCTAGGACAACTACCCCCGGACAGCTACCCCCTAGGATATTGTCCGGGGGCAGTTGTCATAAGGGGTACTTGTCCGGGTGGTAGTTGTCCGGGGGTAGTTGTCCTAGGGGTAGTTTACTTGGGGGTAGTTGTCCCGGGAGTAGTTGTCACAGTGGGGTAGTCGTCCTAGAAGGTGCCGGTTGCCCTAGGGGTCGTTGTCCTAAGGGGTAGTTGACTGGGGGTGGTTATCCGGGGGTGGTCCTAGAGCCTTTTTAACCCCTGAACGCAGCACCGCACGGACCGCGTCCAATCTCAGACAAACACCCCCTAATTTATACGCGTTTTCTTTGTGACGCATATTATGCTTACATATCCATATTTGACTGAGACCCTCTGGATACATGCATGCACGCAAAAACGTTGCACGAACAAGGCATTTTCGTGTGTTTCCCACCCTTCTTATTTCCGGGCAATGTAAGATATATTGATTTCATTGATTTATGACTACTAACCGAGAATATAAGAGTTGTCTCATGCAAGCATGATGTTAAACATGTAAAATTCAGTAGCATACCAAATATGTAATCTGCCATAGCATATCCCCATGCGTACGTTATTGTGTACTGGTACACCGCTACCATACAATCACTCGTCCACACAACAACAAGAGACGGAAACATCGTGGACAATAATTTTCCGTTTTATTTCATTATATTTCATTTCGTTCAAACAGAAAGACATTACTGATAATTTACAATCATCCACAACCCCAAGTAAATATATATTTTACAACAAATAGACCCCTCTACCTTACATCTTCCTGCCTCTACCATACTTTCTTAGAAATGGTGTCCCACTCCGGTTATTCTCATATCCGGCCATATCACTTATCCGGATGGGCGCCGGTCCCGGCGCGGCCGGATAAATGAAGTAATAGTGCGCCACCATAATTTTCACGCATTAACTCATAATAATAATAATAATATTGGCATTTATATAGCGCTCTTACAGACATACATGTGTATCACAGCGCTTTACAACATATTATTATTACCCCGGTCATCGGATTCAGGCTTACCTGCACACAAGGTATGCACATTCTCCACTCCCTGGGGAGCATTCCAGCCAGTCGCCATTTTACAAGCGCCACTTGCTAATCAAACCACATTAGCTTTCGCATCCTACCGGGTACCCATTTTAATAGCCTGCCATGAGGCTGCATGCACGCTACCTATTGAGTGCCATGTGCGTGCGTGCACACTTTCGTACTAGCGGTTATTGTTCATGCTCATTGGGCTGTGCTGTGTGTTTTGCACTCGCCATTCATAGAACCATCGCGTTAATCAGATTATCTCAAAAACAACCTGGCACAATGGGGATTAGCCCTGTGGTACGATAAGAGTTAACGTATATTGAAATTTTTTGAAATTGAAATTGTTCAGTTTATTTTTACCATAAAAATGAAACATGTACATACAAATGAGTAACATAGTAAACATAATACGGTAAAGGACACCCTTAGAAGCAAATTGCTTGTGGTGGGGCCTTAAAAAGAAAAGAAAAGAAAGAAAAAACTACACATAAATTATACAGTTTAAAAACTTTAAAATAACATGATACAAACACACATGCACGCTCACACATATACATACACACATACATTCAAAATATCCTCCTCAGGACCTATGACCTATAAGTATATGAAAATCAATATATTTTTTTCGCTTGGATTCTATCTAAGATAGGCGTTGATATTTCCGATCTTGTTGGGCAGGTTCATGCATTAGCCCCAATCTGAGTTGAGAAATATGTATGATTCCGAAAGACAAGGTCTAAATATAAAAAAAGACCTATTGATACAATGTAACGACATAGCTTTCCATTCTCTTCTTTTTTGTTACCTCAGAGAATGTCGGGATCAACAGATGACAATATAATTACATCGGATGAAGCCTTTCACTTCGTGCGAGATGTCCTGGGAATCTCTGCGCCGTCCACCAAGCTCAAGGCAAGTCCAAAGGACTTTCTTGAAGACATCATTCGAGCGTATTTCCATCACATCCCATTCCAGAACGTCAAAAATATTGCCACGCCCCACCACAAGAGACATGTTCCTACCGTAGCCGAGATCAAGCAGGATATTCTCAAAGCTAAGATAGGCGGACTCTGTTACCAGGTCAATGTCTGCTTCTATCTCCTCCTCAAAGCTTTGGATTTTGATGTCACGCTTATCGCTTGCGACATCGGATATCCCAGCGACCACGTCGCCATAATCGTCCACAATATGACAAATGAGGGCAGCAGGCATTATGTCGACGTCGGGACCGGGAATCCGTTGTTTTGCGCTGTTCCTTTCGACTTCCAGGACGAGTCACCTGTGTACCATGACTCCTTCCTGCGTTTCAAGTTTTCCCGCCAAGGTGACGTCATATTTTGTTTGCATCAGGTCGATGGTCACCCAGCCAAGCATACCATGGTAGCCAATCGTATCACCGATGGGTGGTACCGATATATCCGCATTCATTTCAAGGAAGGTGTCGAGATAGCCCACTTTAAACCCAGCATGACACCGATCTATGTCAGCAGTGATGGTATACCTAGACATTACTTTCTAACCAGTGTCAGATGCGTGGCGTTTCCCGACTGTCGCTTTGTTTGCATCAAAGACACTACTCTTTTAATAGAAAATGAGAGTGGATGCATTTCGAAGTCCTACTTCAGGTCTCGTGAAGAGACCAAGGAGGCGTTTGCCAAATACTTCCCCCAGATTTCACAGGCAATGCTGGATGAAGCAATGAATGATGAATATGCGAAGTTAGATTACGAAAAGGGGATTTTGTAATAAAATACGTCAATAAATCTGCTTATGAATTTGTTTGGAGGTTAATTTTCAATCAGAGTAACCACGATAAACGGTGCTAAACATTATTAATTTGTATACTTTCTGCAATACTTTCATAGAAGGTGATAATGATTTTATATCCTTTCTGACCACAACAAAAAGACGTGTACCATTTTGTAAAAACCGATTAGTCTAGAAGAACCCTTTGCGGTGAAAACTGCTTAGTGCAACATGTACTGTGATCATTATTCCAACTCTTCTCGCTTTCACATTATATTTCATGTAGAATATTGGCGATATAAATAATACTACATAATGATATTTTACCTTCTGTTTAGCGAAGCCCACCGATTTTGTCTGAAATATTTGTTTTAATTTCTTTTATATTCGTGTAATAGGCCGACCAATGCAACCCTACAAAAGAAATGATCGTTTGTTTGATTTCATTTTAGTATAATTCAACAAAATAAATAATAATAAGCAAACCAGGTACATGATAATGTTATTAGTAACAAGAGATAAATACATGATATATTCATATCAAGATATGAATCATTTAAATAATTATACATTGACAAAAATAGTTGACAAATCTTTTCAACTGTCGTTTAATAGGCCTACTCAACTCCACAAAATTTTTCATTGTTTGTTCATTTTACTTCTGCATTTTTAAATATAATAAAAGTAATATACAAACTAGGTATAAAATGACAATATTATTGTCAACACAAGTTAAAATACATAAATAGATACATAATATAAATCATTAGACCTTATAAAAAAGTTGACAAATCATTTCAAAATTTCAATGAAGGAGACCGCCATGAGATTGACGTGATCGTGGCCTTAGGACTGAATTGTATGGATTTCATTTTACCAGTTACACTAATATACCCGAATGAATTAATTATATAGTTTTGCTTTGAATCACAATTAATATATTACCAATTTATTTCATGGAGTAGTAAGTCTTATCAATTGGTTCGCATTAAATCATACCTAACTCTTCCATAAATATATTTTGAAATGTTTTTATGTATCTACCAAGAACTGTATTAATTAGACATTAATTTTGTTTACAACTTGTTGTTTATTCCTATGTGCAATCTGAATTGTAATGTTATTTCTAATCCAGCTGCTAGTAATTGCTGCGAAACACTCAAACTTGTTGTCTAATAAACCATTTTTGTTATTGAATTGCATTGAATTCAACATTTCTTTGTATTTATCTAGTGTGCTAATAATGAATTTCTGATTGGTATTTTCTGTAATGTTTTACTTCCATTATCATAATGTATTATCGATGTATTTTCTCGTTTAATACAAACAAAGTTGTTATGATTATAAGGTATCTTGTAATATATGTAATGTCGTCTGCTCAGAGCCATAAGGCCATTGACTTATATCACTGAAGACAGAGTGAACACCCTTCTAGCTCTCAACGATAATTTATCACATTTTTAATGTTGTATCAAGGATACAGCAGGATTTCTCAAACCGTTTTTGCTACATCGATCACCATCTTTGGTTGTTTTTTTTTTTTTTAACTGTTCTTGTTTGATTACAGCTTTTATTTGAACAATGGTAATTAGATTTCGATATAATGGGAGATGTATTGTAACTTGGCTGGCATAGGCGCTGGAAGTGGCGGGCAGGGGGAGGGGGACTCGCCCCCCCCCCCCCCAAAAAAAAAAAAAACGCCCCCCCCCCTCACTTGTACATGTTTTGGTAAAAGGAGGGGGCACAATTTCATTGTCTGCCCCTGACACCATTACTTAAAAGGATACTTGAGGTTTGGTATAGAGGGCGCTTCACAAAATAATTACGGAGGACATACTGTGTATGATCGAATCTCTTTGATAATTTGTGTGACTGAGTGTCAAATCTGAAAGAGCATATCAAATTCGGTTTCAGAGACGGTTAAAATATCCATATTTTATCCATTTCTAATATATTTTAAGGGGCCCTACAAAATATTCGAACCAGGCATTAAAAAAATGAGATAGCGCTTTATACGTCTTTATTTCAGCCAGTGTCGGCTTTTTGTTGGCTTTTTCGTGTTGGTTATAATACGCATAACCAGCCGGCCCGTGTATTGTTATTAAATTGCTGGTTAATTTTTTTTTTTTTTAAGTGGAGCTGAATTGGTATGATCGGATTTAATCTAAATATCACACATTTGTGGTCTGAAATTACCTTCACAGCTGTTTTGGGTCCTAAAAGAGACTAGAAATGTCGTAAATCAGAATAAGAGCAATAACCATACACTAAGAAGACATGTGCAATCTTAAACAAGAATTTAAACTGATGGTCTTATTCACATGGAGGCGCACTAACTGTGAGCCATATTCTGCTATAGGATGTTTATGCTCTGAACAGAGCATAGGGTATGTAATTTACATTCTCTCATTTTGTATGCATTTTCCATAACTCTTCAGTAGGGGTGTACATGTAAATGCCACAATGCATCTCCGCCACTTAAAGGTAAAGACCAGTAATGGAAACGCCCCAATGTCAAAAAAATGAAATGGAAGCTCTTATTACCAATCATGTGAAAGAATATGTTTTGACTAATACGTGATGATAAAAATGTTGCCGGGAAACCGCCTACTAATTGATATATTTGGTAAATTAGTTTATCTACATGGTCTGTAATGGTCGCGCACGTGTGCGTATAGTCCCATATACATCTTTCTGTGTACAGTGCTTGTAACTTTACGAAGACTGGGTCATATTTCTTATCATTTTGATGATTCAAGAACCTTGCAGTACTTATATGCTAGATGATCAACCTTTTCTGATCGATTCCACAACGTTTCTTTTACAATGCAATCGCATGACCATAACTGGTATTTATCTTTAATACCCATTCCTGCATCTAAACAGGCATTAACAGCAACAGAAAAGCATTTTTAAGGGGCCAAGGGATGTACAAAGGGTTGTCCGAAGGATATATAAATTCGAGGAAGAAGGAAGGAAGTATATTATATATATATATAAAGAGAGAGAGATATAGAGAGAGACCCGCTGGGATTAGAAGAAGGGTCACTTGAGGCCAATAGCGTACTTTGCCATACCCTTAACGGGATTGGGTAACTTTGTCTCAGATTCTGAACAAAATCCTGGATTTACCTCATAATGCAATCATGATTATAATATTTTAGGTCAGTCAGGAATCCCATGACATTTACAAGCCGACGCCTGGCTGATTATCAAGATATTTATGATTGGAAATCGAAATTTAAAAGTTCGTTTTCTTAACGGTTTTCATCACACTGCAGTCTATGGGGGAAATGAGTAGGGTAAAACTGGTCACTCAAAGATATTTACTTTTTTGAGGCACTTCATGATCATTTTGGAGCGCATTTTTTAAGGGCTTCAATACCATATCAAAGACGCTGATAACACGTGGGACCATGCATTTCAGATTTAACATTGTTAATTGATGCCTTTGAAGGGGAAGTCCAGGCCAGAAGGAAATTAGATAGGTAAAAATCCACCATACCCAAATATATGTTTGTTTTGGGAAACTATGATCAAGATTATTTTAATTGATTGTCTAATTTGCAAAAACATGTTCGTGAACGAGAGTTTACAGATAGCACATGGTACAAATGACCCTAAATATCCACAGATCGTTTACACATGGAGAAGTTCCACTTTGAGCATCTTAGAATAATAACTGCCAAAGTCCTAGATGTGCTTCATGAATACCTTTTGTTTGTCCTCTTGAAAAGAATACTTCAACCTGCGTATCATAGAATGTACCGTTGGTGCATAAATAAATAATGTTACATAACTTTCGTGAACGCATATCCAGTATTCATCTCTGTGGGTTTTACCATTTTGGTACAAATGACCTTTATCTGCCCATGCGCAGATTGTATCTATGAACTGACTTAATGCCTTCAGTGTTTGCGTATCTGTTGCATGCTAGCAGCTAGTAAAAAAGTTTGTAAAGAAGTTTGGTAACGTCTGCCCAAACGGTAAAGAGAGAGAAAAAATGTCGCTACGAAATGTTTGAGAAAATCGAAACAAAACCTAACTCAATGGTGCTATGGACTTTATATATGATACAATAGCGATATAGACGTGATTTGTATTAGAATAAGAGGGTAGATAGACTCCTGTTACAACAATGGAGGTAATGAATTTTTGAAGTTGCAACCAATGAAACACAAATGGGTAGCCTTGTGAGGTCCTCTCTCATTTGCTCTGTACATGCAATGTCATGAATTTTGGTTTCCTTACTTATTGAAGAAGAAATAAGCTGTTTTAAAAATTATATAGTTCGTTTAAAGACACATCTGAGGTAATTATATTTAGGGTGCTTGTATGTACAATATTCTTTAGAGATAATCGAAATTCATGATTTTTGGTGGAATTTTCTTTTAGTACTGAAACAAAAGGGAGGGACCTCCTAAGATGCGTCAAAAGTTGCCAATTCGTTTTTGGTCGATAACAACATCAAGAATCCATTACTTTCTTATTTTTTAAGTTTTAAGACCAACTTAAATGGATTGGGTAACTTTGTTTCAGATTCTGAAACAAAAGCCTGGATTTAGCTCATGCTGTAATGATAATTATAAACCTTTAGGTCAGTTAGGAACTCCATGACTTTTCCAAGTCGATCGCCTGTTTGATTCTCAAGATATTAATGATCGGAAATTGAAATCAAACTTTGCGTTTTCCTAACGGTTTTCATAACACTACAGTCCATTGGGGAAAATGATTATGGTAAAACCGGACACTCAAAGATTTTTACTTTTTTGAGGCACTTCTTGAACATTTTGAAGCGCAATTTTTTAGGGCTTCAATATAACACCAAATCACATACACTGACAAGACGTAGGGCCGCGCATCGCGGATTTAACATTGTTAAACGATGCCTTTAATGGTCAACAATGACAATTTTATTTGAGTTTATATCCAATTTCCCAGAGGACTTTCCATAAACATGGATAATTTTCTAATGAACGTTTTTAAAATGAGTTTTACTGAATGGAGGATTTTGCAAACACAAATTTCAAAATGGTTAATAAAAACCTGTGAATTAATGAGCGAAAGCATGAACTATTTTCTGCAAAATATTCTACAAACCTTCCGTACCAATAAAGATGTGCGATATGGCAATTCAAAGTGCCATGATAATTCTTTGCAAGATAGCCTACTACAAAAAACAAAAAACAACAACAACATTCGATTGAAATGTATTATTTATATTTTAGGCCTACACAGTGTATCAAAGTCCAGGATCAAAATTAAATGAACCGACCATAATTATGTAGGCCTACTGAGAAAAAATTACCTAGAAATACTAGTGCGTGATTTGAAATTTAGCAAGAAGATTTAACATATTTCATACGAGACTAGTGATGATATTGTGAGTAAGTGAAATATTGAAAGGGAATTATGCCCATGAGTTGGCCCATATGAGAATATAAATTTAATCAAATAACGAAGAGTTCTCTCCTGATTGAAACTCCGGTGAATATATGCTACACCGCCTACGCGTACCACAACTTCACACCATCAATTTAAAACATTATAATGTCTAGAATTATGAGGCATATCAAATGTCAATTTCAAATTTGTACATTAGGTTACGTTCAGTTATGGCAGGAAATGTATTGTTCGAGATCGGGGAATCCCCCTACAAAGAGGTCACTGGGAACTTCCAAGTTTAGTCTTTTTACCAGACGCTCTTCATTTGTGTTCATGTTTACTTTCTCCTCCGTGTCATTAGGAAGGCTGATATTTTCAAATGGACTTAAAGTGGTTAAAATTACATTGTCTTCGTGCTTTTAATATTATAGTTTGAACGCCAACGAGTGGATCACACGCAGTAACGCACACCGTAAAAAAATAATGGTAGACATTATATCCCTACCATACATTACATTTGAAATTGCAAAGGTAGGTATTTCTAAATATGTAGACACATAATCCATAATGTGCCTTCTGGGCTGTAGTTAGCTTGCAATTATTGGTTCGACCAGCTACCAGATTATGATGGAGAACACTCCAATGAGGAAATAATAAACCCCAGATAATAACGATACAAATAAAGTGAGCCTGAAAAAAGACAACGATATGATCGAGTACGTCCACAATCTTGGCAATACAGCTCGCTGTATGCGATACACCCGCGCTCTTAAGGTCGAACAGGCAGCAGGGAAAAGAGTAATACCGCGGTGTTTACATGGTAAGTAATTTTATTTTTTTTCAATTCTGCACTTATTATTGGAGATTTACAGTTGACCATTTTCTCTATAGACACTTCACCATTTCTTCATCCTTTTGGACACATAATTATATATGTTTTAAATAATAACTATAGCCTCACCCTCAGGCTGCTGTATTCAACGCGAATACTAGATAGATGAATATGAACTTTATCTGGAATCTTAAATGTAGATCTACAGTAAACCACGCAATTATTCATAACCTTAATAATTGTTCAGATTGTTTAAATATTTGACAAATTGATTTGTCCCGATGCATGTTTCTTGAGAATGTGTCATATTAAGCTTACATCTAGAAGCGTTAAAGTACGGGCCCAATTCAACAAGTCCACCTTAGTTTCATTCTTGAGTTATAAAAACAACAAAAAATCTCAGATTTACAACGGTTAAAAATTATTATCTTCATGTATTTCCTGGCAAATTACGAATGGTAATTATTAACCATACCTCATTTCCTGCCCATTCAGTATCACCTACAATTATAGTTCGCTCAAGATTTTGCGTTCTTAAATTGATACTCCTTGTTTATACCAAGTACAACATTCATGAACTTATCATATCATAAACATCTCCCCGAATTAAACTATATTTCTTTAAATCTAAATTGCAATTGTCCAAGCCCCACAAAGACACGATATGCTATGAAGTTTTTACTTGCCACGAATAGATCTTGATATATCTCTATGCATGTATTCAAGTATTATTGTATGTACCTGTATATCTTTGTAAAGGGCCTATCATTTGAAATTCGCTTCTATAGCCTTTTTTCCAATCTGGCTGGAATGGTGAGGGTGAATGCACCCCCTCCCCATGTCCTATCAATGCTGTTGTCGCTATATAATGAATATAATATGATTATCAGTTATAAAATATGATTATGTTTAGTTGTTTACTATAGGATAGTCTTAATGAGTACGTTCACCCTGAATACAAAGTGATTTTCAAAATGCAAAACAATGAGGAAAGCATATCACTGAATATTTGAGGAATAAACAAAAAAGTAAAAGAAAGTTATGAATTCTTGAGGTTGGTATAATATGGGACATTCCTTCTACTTGCACAATTCTATTTTTAACACGATGGCATCATAACTGTTTAATAAAAACAATTACTCTCGACCAAGGGGTAATAAATAAATTGGGGCATAGTTACATAGTACTTCATTAATTAGACTTAAATAATGCGGATTGGTAATAGTAGACCTTTGATCGTTCCGCCCTTGGGAACACATCGATCTGTAAGTTTCCTCCACTATGTCCTGTCATGGGCTTCTTCATTTTGCTTGTTTCAGTCTGTCTTTTCGGTCATTGTCTAAAATAATAATAATCTATCAATCATTATCTTTATCCAGACAAGCAATGTGCATTCCCATCGCCTACGTCTCTGCTACGTGGTTCATCGATGTCTATTCAAGATGTTAAAAGCTTTTTTAAAGAGAGGTTCGGGAAACCGTTTAGAAATCGACGCAAATTAGGCGAGGATGAAGACGACTGTTGTGATGCCCTAGAACATTTGTCAGTGGACAGCGATAGCGATAGCGATGTCGATGAAGAATACGTTGATGCATCAGAACAATACTTTGATGAACGAGAGCAGCAAATCACCAGTAAATCACTCCCTACAGAGAAAAATGGAAAGAAAAGCCCAGAAGTAAGAGAACATATGAGGGAGCAATTAAACAACCACAACGTCAGATGACCCATGCCCTCTATTTGAGTGCAATATATTATTTTGGAATAATGCGTTTCTAATGCTAGTACTACTGTTATTACTAATAATAAAAGTAGGCATTTGCATTACTAATATTAACATATTTAGTTTAATTAATATAGCGCAGCTACTGTCATACCGTACTGCGCTGTATTATTTCAAGGCGCACGAGGAAAATAGATTTAAAAAAGAAGAGTCGGGATAAATTTCATATACTTGTGTCAAGCATTACTAAAACAGGAAGGGTTTAAACTCGAAATTAAAACACTTTAATGTTGTTGTAGATCTCAAGGCCAACGGTCATTGTTTTTCCTCATAAAAGGTGCTGCAGTCGAGAAAGGTCTTTACCCGCAGCCGACTCTTGTTCTTGGGATCTGAAGAAAAGGTCGATGTGATTAACTTAAATTTGTTTATGTTAAGTGGGTTTCAAAATACCTCCACTTGATGAAATGTATTACCCTCACTAGTGACCACCTTTTAACGGGCTACATCAAATTAATACGAAGTTGACTGCACCACAAGTATTGTTTTCGAAAAGCCTAGTTGCACAGACATAAATATGGGCTAAGCTAATATACTCCATTGGAAATCTAGTCAAATGATGAACAGCATCACACACCTTTTTCATACATTCGGATAGATATGAAATGATATTCAACTTTCGTTCAAATTTCTAACCATTTGATGCAGAAGAAGCCCCTTTTAGCTCGTACCAAAATGACTGACTAAAACAATCACATAAAATCATTTGTACTAGCACAGAACAGTTCTGTGTTGCACGCCCTATCAGATGCGAAAACACGGACGGAATCTGAACTGCATTGTTAAACATCTTAGAGCAATTTTTTGATACCTGGTGAAAGAAGGATCATGAGAGCTTTGGATAAGTCTCTCTTTTGGGATAAATTGTTTTATAAATAGTTCAAACTACAAAGTTAATCACATCTTTTTCCCCAGAGTTCTCCACGACATTCGAAAAGCGGCGATTTTCAATTTGACCCGAAAGATTCTAGCACTTCCTTTCCGAAGGACACAGAACCATATCATTTGGGTGATGGAGGATCCAAATCTGCAACTTCATCCTCTTCAGAAGCGGACGTTCAGTTTGGTTTAAAATGGCCGAAAACCATCGTTGATCCGCCCCAGGCACTCCCCATGAAGGATTACACAGGTAAAGGTATAATAGTTATCTTGTTTGAAAATTGGATTTTCTTCTCAATATGAAACTCTTATCTGGCTGATCTATTGCATCGAGAAAAAGGTTTATCTTCTACATTCTCATTTATTCCATATGTGCGGAAAAAACCTTAAATACAGTGGATAATTTACTTCACATGCTGTATAAGTGGGATTTTATGAGAGGAGGGGCATATAATAACGACAAATTGTGTTTGTTAAAGCAAGAAGAAAAGGGGCAAAGAAAAGAAAAATGGGTATTATGGATAGGTAAACCAAAATATAGTTCTGGAATCTTGCGCATGATACGGTCCCTGATGAAGAGCAGATAATCTGGTTTACTGGAGGCACTAAAGAAAGCAAACCTGAAATACCTGGCAAATGATTTGCTTACACAGGAAGGTATAAAGTTGTACTTGTTATCTTCTTTCTGCTGCTTAGATAACCATTAACATGATCGAATAGGTAATTAAAAAAAATCTACCCAAGGCAATTTCAATATCCTATCAGATCAGATCAGATCAGAACATGATTAAAGTATTGAGATTGCCCTTCTCATTTAGTTCTTGAAAGGCTTTGTGTTCTCATAAAAATAAAATCCTCAAGGAGAATAAAAAAAACAAATATACTCAACTTTTTCAAACCCAGAGCAACCTCAAACATGTTAATAACACTGCTTATGAGATCTTAAAGTAATACCCCCCCCCCCCCCTCCCTCACCACCTCATCGCTCCGGTGTACTATTTCCCACAAAATGACAACTTACATTACATGCTGTCAACGATTGTTTTTAGTTCCGTTTCGTTATATTTTGATGGACGTGAAGATAATTTTTTAATACTGATTTGGCCCAAAATATATTTGACTCCGGACAAAATGGGCAATGTCCCGATTGCTTGCATTTTCTTAAATCATTAATTCGACACGTCTGGTGTCATTACCAAGAGCAGGGGGGTGTTTAACAAAACTTTTCATCAGTGACAAATTACATTTTTTGTTATGAGCTACTGAGATCCTTGCTTCTGATTGGTTATCAGCAAATTTGTCACTGATTTTATGTCATTTGTCATTTTTTTAAAGGCTTTGTGAAACACCCCCCTGATGGAGACACTCCAGCCATTGAGATTAATCCAGAACAACCTGCAACAACAGATGATAAGAGTGGCAAAGTGTGCCAGGAAGAAAATCAACTTTCAGATAAGTCCTCTGGATGGTTCGGTCGGTTAGGGAAATGGTTTTTGGGGTTCGATTTATTCGGCTGGTTACCATGGTTACTTTCGAAGGTATGGCCAACACGCATACCCAGCATCTATATCTGTACCTCCTCGAGCACCAGGAGCATCCATGGGCTCAAGAAGAAGTTACAGACCTCATCAGACTCTTCCAGGTGCGTCGTTCAAGAGCTGGAGCTGCCTTACAATCGCCTGGAGGATTTCAAGTTTCCCTCGGAGGTGGAAAGTAGTGATGCCATGATTCTTTGCCATTCGGTCCATAACAGGGGGTTCTCCATCACTGATGTCCAAAACTCAATCTACGACGAGTTCCTGAAGAACTGCAATCAGGTCTTTGGTAAGAGATGGAAATGTAAGCGTGTTATCGGTTGATGGCTTTATGGTGTAATTTAATGCTACTTAATGGATTTATATTAATCTATTGAATTTGGTATTTAAAGAACCTTTACAGCATTGAGGGGCAAACGGTTAAGTCTTTGGAAAATTCATACTATCCTTTATTATTGTTTAAGTGTTAAATCACTTCCAATATGTGTAGATACACCCTTATTATATCATTGTTTTGGTGCGTTATAAGTTCCCGCAACGAAAGCACAAAACCTTCTAATAATTTTGTCCTGCGTAACGCTATGTATAAACACTTTAATGAGCAGAGGGTCATTCCTTCTTTATTTTTGTAGCTTCTTCTTCTTTTCCTTCTGCTTTTCTTCTTCTTCAGGTAGAGATCACATGGTCGTTGTCGTACACGATTTCAACTTCAATAAAGAAGCTCTGAAGGGCCAAATGGAGACATTTCAATCCATACAGCCGGCAACGTTCAAGATGGCCGGCCTCGTTGTTCTTGCAGGAAAGCTTGATGATACCGAGGTGCAACTCTGTCAAGACGATTTAACACAGCTAGAAAAGTTCGTGAAGAAATTTTGCTAACGTCTGCTCCAATTAGAGAGAGAAGGAAAAAAAAAATTTATTCCCATGGCCGACCTAAAAAAGGTGACCTTACCCCCCCCCCAACGGAGCAAAATGTCAAATTTCCAAATTTCGAGACCAAAAAAAAAAAAAAAAGTGTCCTCTTACCCCCCCCCCCCCCCCCCCCCCCCCCCCCCCCCCCCCCCGCTTATTCAGCGGTCGGCTGAGTCGTTGCGATTTTTTTGGGACCAAAAAAAAAAAAAAAATGTGTCCTCTTACCCCCCCCCCCCCCCCGCTTATTCAGCGGCTGGCTAAGTCGTTGCGAAATTTTCGGACCGATTTATAAATGTTAAAACCCCCCCCCCCCCCTTGAAAAAATCCTGCGTACGCGCCTGTGCTAAGGACTTTATAACTGATACAATAGCGCTCTAGATTTTATTTTTATTGGAATGAGAGGGGACAGGGAAATATTGTGCCAAGAGAGAAGTACCTTTATTTTCAATATTTGAAAATGGAGTTTATAAATACTGTCGACAAGATATGAAATGGGTGTATGGAGAAAAAAACATGGATATTAAAATGTTGAGCTTTCATTTTCATCACTTGCATCAAAGAAAAGAAAACAAGAAAAAAACTTGTTATTATACCAAATTGCGTGGGCATGCGTGTGTGTGTGTGTGTGTGTCATAGGCCCGGGTGGAGCTATTTTGAGAAGCAGAAAAAAAGGATAACTGGAGTTTAGTGGATGTAAAAGAGTATATTTTAATGCAGTTTAACAGTACTATGAAGCTCCTCAGAGATGTATTATCGAGGAAGGTTTATGAATATTTTATAGAGAAGTTACAAAATGTAAAAATTGCGTGGGCATGCGTGTGTGTGTGTGTGTGTGTGTGTCATAGGCCCGGGTGGAGCTATTTTGAGAAGCAGAAAAAAAGGATAACTGGAGTTTAGTGGATGTAAAAGAGTATATTTTAATGCAGTTTAACAGTACTATGAAGCTCCTCAGAGATGTATTATCGAGGAAGGTTTATGAATATTTTATAGAGAAGTTACAAAATGTATTTGTCTTGAAGATTCATGATGGACGGGAATTTTCAGATTTTTCAAATGAGGTATGTAGGAAGATAATTAGTAGGCCTAGGAAAGTTACTCTTGTTAATTACAGACTAAGAGAAAATCAGTATAAACTGCTTCATGGAGCAATAATTATACTAGAGAACATTTATTCAGATTCGGCTTTGTTGTATAATTAGTCTTTATTTGTAAGCAAAAGTTAGAAACATATTTACACTTGTTCTGGGAGTGTGTACATGTTCAAAGATTATGGCAAAATAGTGGGTAGTAGTGTGTTTGGTTGGATGGGGTTATTTGTTTTATGGTACAACTGATTTCAATTTTGTTTTCATCAATTGTACAATCTATGTAATGAAAATGTTTTGAATTATGTCAAGGAAAAACAACTGTATATTATTTCTAAAATTAATTTGTATTGTTTGGAATCAATAACAAAAAACTATTGAGAAAAAAGCATACGTCAGTGCATTGCGCGGTCATCGACGCGGTATGCAAGTTTGACGTTGAACACAAAGTGCATATACTCTGTTGCCCATAAAGTTGGAATACTTTTTTTCTTACCTTTAATGATATGATATTATTTATTATGCATAGAAAAGGTTTATATCTTCTCAAAACTGTATTGATCCCTCTGTATGACTCTTTAGATTGATCACTAAAGTTATGAGATGATATCTACGTTGTCTATCAACAATAAATCATGTTATCACAATCATTTTATGCATTAGGGTAACAGTGTAAAATGAACACTGCCAACATGGCATTGAATAACTGGCTCATCCATTAATTGCCCCCATAGGCTTGATTAGGGCAGGTAGTACCACAGTCGAAATGGCACTAATTCAACGGTTATTAGTTTGCGGGTTCGCGTATGCAACAAATAATAATGATAATAAATACTTAAAAAGCGCACTTATCTAAAAACTTACTCAAGGCGCTATACAAAACAAAATACACAAATATCTCTCCAGAATTTAACAACATACTCATTTGTAACTCTGAGTAAATAAAACCTTTTTAACATGTTTCTGGAAGGTTTCTAGTCATTGAATTTCTCGAACGTCACTTGGCAGCTTGTTTAGGGATTCAGATCCATAACCCAGTATGAAACTATGAATATTCTCCTTTCTGCAACATGCGCATTAGAGTCTACCCTGATATTAAGTTGGTTTTAATAAAAAGCAATACAAATAGAGAAACAGTTTAGTGAAAGTATGATCAAACTCAAATTGAAAATATTAAGATTATTAATTTGTGAAGTTGTAATCAATGAAGCACGAATTGGAAACGTTTTGACGTATCGTGTAAGGTCCTCTCTCAGTTGCTATGTACATGAAATGTAATGAATATTAGTTTTCTTACTTATTGATGAAGTAATAAGTTGGTTTCATAATTATAAACGCCGTTTAAAGACACATTAATTGTATCTAGGGTGCATGTATATTGGACAGTATTCGTTACAGACAATCGAAATTTATTAATTTTGATTACATGGGAGGGGACCCCCTAAGATGCGTCACAAAGTTGCCAATTCGTCTTTGGTCGATTGCAACTTCAAGAATCCATAACTTTCTTATTTTTAATCGGATTTTGTTCTAGGTTTCACTTTCCTATTTCTCTCATTTTTCTTCTTCTATTAAAACCAGCTCAGTATCAGGCTGGACAAGTTATACTACCTCCTCATTAGGTATTACACGAGGGGGAACTGTCACAACATGCTGGTGAGCACCCACCATTCACATCTGCGTGTATTGAGTATCCATTTTAGAATTATTGAATGGAACCAACGATTAAATGTTGTCACGGGCTTTCTTAGGACTGCATATCTAGCTGGCATGGGTGTTATTTCATAAAGACATAGTGGGCCTATCCTATTAATGACATATGCGTAGAATACCAAAAGAAATCGGATACATAATGTAACCTATATCTGATGAATAGTTATTATATCATGTTGATTGTAGAGGGTGCTACATTGTATTAAAAGATCACGAATATTGTTATATTTCTATGTACACTGCCGTATATTTTCGATATCATTGAAAATGTCATCATTTCATATTATGTATATTATGATTATAATCATATAGATTGCATGTATACACCTACAAAATACCGATAAATTGACACTAGAACTGTAAGTCCTCTTGACTTGTATACACAAAAGACTAGCGATTAAACAAAAGTTCTCAAGGGAAAGGCAACGTCTACCTCGAATCAATATGAATCACTTAGTGAGGATTCTTTATTTCTCAGAGGTCTGTGCGTCAACGATTAGAATGTCAAATATGACAATGACATATTACGTAATCCGAACATGATTTCTTTTGGACATACTGTATGGTATTGACATTACCCTTGAGTTGATATTTCGGAATAGATGCGATCGTGTTGCATAGTCGTAAAATAATGCATTGTTCTTAAACGCACTATGTCCCATTTCAGGCCAAACAAATGAAAAGGTTAACTCCCAACGGCATTTGAAAGATAACTCCAATTTAGAACTCCCCCTCCAAAAAAAAGGGGGGGGCTTGAAAATGTCTTTAAGTGGGAAAATACCGACTATTAGTTGTCAAATCGACTTAAGAGCTATAGAGCCAGTAAGTAAAAGTCTGATATTTAGACCATTATACCGAATGGTCGTACGTTTTGTGCTGCACAAAGATTCATTCAGTTTAATTTTGGCGATTACAAGAAGTGGGTTATTGACGTAGACAAATGCTCATGTACCCTTTACAGCTCATTTTATGTATGTTATTACTAAAGAAGAAAAAAGCCAGTGATCAGTCACTCAATAGTTTCTGACGATGAAGTCTAGCAAGTAAACGGGTTTCCTTGCATACTTTGAATATTAGGACACTGCTAACGTTTAAATTTCACAGATAGAGCATACATGACATATTCATAACTCCTGCAAAGTTCTATAGAATTTGATGTTGGCTGCAAAAGGGACATAGTATCTTTAAGTCATGTTCTATTTGCAAACCGCCGTATGTGCCATTTTCTATGCGTCAATATGGAAACTGTAAGAATTGTATGTAGTTAAACAATTGTTCAATGTTACTTTTTTTATTTGAAAATGTAGAGCATTTAAAGTGAATAAGCAGGTAATGTCATCGATTCATGCTCTTTGATTTAAATACCGTCTTTCTTCATCTCCCGATCTTTCTCTTTTGTTTTCTCCATCTCCTCTCTTTATGTTCATCTAATAGTTGCCTCTTGAAAACTTTCCTCTTTCTCACTCACACTCTAGTCTACCGTACTCCGTCGTCAATGTGCTCCATATCACTACCACACCATGTCTTCTACATATATTAAAGATTTTTCATATCTCTATTATTTCTGTGTAATCAATATTTTCAGTAATGTTAACCATTTATTATAACATTAACCATGGTGCCTTTTGTATCATGTGAGATTTAATGTACGCCCTATTTGAATGTTTTCATCGGCCATATAAGTCTTGTATGCCATTTTGAAATTCGACTTAATTCATGATTTGCATATATATATTGTATCCTAAAATGCTTTGATTACTTATCGACATTTGATATTGTGAACTTTAAAAAATAGTTTAATCCTTTATGTCAAATTGCAAATGGCATTTATAATTATTTTATGTTAGCATTTTTCTCACTTTTTGATTGGGCTAAGGAAATAAAACTATTTTATAATGAATTGAATTGAATTAAATGTGTATATGTCACTGTGGTAATATGAAACAGTTATGTTACACCTTAACAATTGTATTGCTGCCACACACTTTTGTGCCGAAGACCTTTATAGTTTCATCATGAGGCTGGTTTCTTTAATGAAATCCACATTTTTGCAATGAAATTTACAACGCTATTAAAGAATTATACCTAAATCTGCATATTGCGGCTATGATTAACCGTCGTAAAATTTAGGAATATATGTTGTGATCATTGGTCTATTTGAAATGAATAACATAAAAAGGTGCAAGCAGCTCAAAAGCA